ATCATTATTCATTACGGCCATACTCTGAGGAAACCATCAAATGACATCACTAGACAAGCCATTGCTGGAGTGGAACCCGAAAGGGAAGCGGTGAGTTAGTCGTGCAAGGGTGGTCATATGAAGAGGAGATGAAAGCATGTGGGCAGACTTGCAGCGGGTGAAAACGTTGGCAGAAAACCGAACCCAATGAAGACGCGCGGGTGAACCCTATGTTCCTCTAGGAATTCAAGGAAATAATAATAATTATTATTATTCATTAAATCCTTTAGAGCTGATTAGTGTTTTTCTAGATAGGATTTCGGATTGTGTGGCTGCTGATGGTATGCAGTGATCGACAATATCTACTAGTTTGCATCTTAACTGGTATTGTGCTTCTTCATTTATTGGTTTTAATTCCGTCAATTGACTATATGGGTTATCGAACTGGCTTTCTGAATCGATTTTGTCATATTTTATTGGCATAAAAAAAAATTAAAACAAAGTGACAGTATATTTTGATTTGACACCAGTCAATGACTAGTGTCACACACATGTCTCGACCTTTTTTTGGTGCAGACTGAATTCTATCAGTCAGTCAGTAAGTCAGTCAGTCAATCAGGTTTGCAATATGGCCACCATGCCACTAGGTGGCTAGCTCGCCATCACGGTGCACACATTGAATTGATGATATCAAATAGTTGTTGGAAGAAATCGGCCAGAGGAAGCCTTACCCGGACCTAGATTTCGTGCTAGTTGGAACTCGTCAGTCAGTCAGTCAGTCAGTCAGTCAGTCAGTCAGTCAGTCAGTCAGTCAGTCAGTCAGTCAGTCAGTCAGTCAGTCAGTCAGTCAGTCAGTCAGTCAGTCAGTCAGTCAGTCAGTCAGTCAGTCGGTCAGTCAGTCAGTCATCAAGGCGTATCTGCAACTACATTGAAGGAACACCCATCTGAGGAGATTCGAACCTGCGTGACCCAGTGCCACCTGCATTCAGAGACGTTACCATTGAACAGCTATCCGGGCTGACTGGCGATTGACCTCCTGTAGGACTGTAGTGGGTATTTTCATTGGACACTAGTTGGTAACTAATGTGACAGTGACAGTGTCTGTAATTCAATTTCACTTAGATGTAGGTTCAGCTGATTATGAAAAATAATCTCTGTATTTTCTGGAACACCAAAGAACGTGACACTCTCTGAAAGAGTTTTCAAAAATAATTACAATTTTTGTTTTGGATTCAGTGTTAGCAATGCATGCAGTTGATAAATTTGATTCTGCATTATTATTATTATTATTGTTCCCTTGGATTCCTAGTAGAACATAGGGCTTCAACTGCATCTCTCCACTTGTTTCTGTCTTCTGCTGTGCTTACTTTTCATCCGAATCATCCATGTTAGTCCACACTGTTTCAACTCCTCTTCACACGATCTCCTCAATGTCACCCTTGCACTGACGGCTCACTCGCCGCGTGCTTCTCTTCCGGGTTCCACTCGAGCAATCGCCTGACGCGCGCGCGATGTCACCAGCGGCGGCCTCCTCAGAGAGTGTCCAGTTCACCTCTTCACTTTCTCGTGCATATTTGTCGGTTGGCGATTGGTTCTTGTTTCCATTTGTTTCTTCCTATAGTTTCTTGTTGGTGATTGTTTCCAGCCCGGCCATCTGATCTTCAGTATAGATCCAGCGAAGACAGTTAGTTGTTGATAAAGGTAACGTCTGCAACAGGCTGTTGGTGGAAATATTCTATGTGACCCACCCGCCAAGTTTCTGATCCATTCTATGCAGAAGAACTGACTGACTTGACGTGTTTGTGTTGAAAATCCGGCCGAATTTTGTTGTTGATACTGAGTTGAGTGATGAAGATTTCCAGATTGGTTCAAGCTTCACCTTATTCCTGCATAATATAATTTAATTCCTGAGGTGTATTTTCAAAGCTGTTGGCTTCTGTTCTCAGTCTTGAGACAAGCTGTTTGTTACAGTAGATTCAATATTTTGTGTGACGCGTCGAAAATTGTTAAAGGAAGGCATCAGTTCGCAGGAACAAAAAAACAACATAAGAAACACTTGATACTGAGTGCAGCAAATAGTCAAATATTCCCCCATGAGATCCCAGTCTATTAGTTTCTCATGTCATTTTGCATCGAACTGTCACCAAACTACTGGCTGTTAGGCCTTCTAACTAACTTTTTTTAATCTATCATCTCTGTGTTCTATGATTCCATCTGTACTACTTACTACTGATAAGTAGCTTAATTTTTTACCATAATTATTCTCGCCTGTAAAATTGTGTCGTCCTTAGAATCTTAAAAGTCTATATTGTTCTCAGGCTATGATAAAATATTCATCTGCTACATACGCTTCCAGCGTGTCGCAATCTCTCCTGATACTTATTTATTCTAATCCCTTTCACCTCACTCTGCATATATTGAGTCCTTTTTCTTTCTGTCTGTGGATCACTTTAAAGAGACATCAGTGGGGTTGAATGCGCTTTAGACTCCAGTTAGCTATAACGCATCACGGGTTGAGATTTACTAGTTTACAATAATTAGTTCCTTTCAGGAATCTAGCCAGAGATATAAGAATCGTGTAATGTATTTGCGTGACCAATTAAGAACAACAAAACACACACGGACTTGTCATGGGAATATACGGAATATGTGAAAATAATAAAGAGATTTATGAGGTGGGTGAGAAAACAGACTACTTGACTTGACGTCTTAGGCCAAGTTAAAAGGGGGATATATTGAAGGCGTGAAAATAACAATGAAGATGAATGAATAAACCAAATAACAGAGGTAGCACAGTACATCTACCCTGACTGGCTGGTGGCGATCAAAACAAACTTTACCACCACCAACAAGTAAGGAAGGTAGGTTTAGTTAGTGTGATGACGAATTGGTGCTTTGAACGCATAGAGGTGGTTCAAACTTCCTAACTTCCAGCTAGGGCTAGCTTCCACAAACTCTAGAATACGCTCTCCACCAAACACACTTTTATAGACAGGTAGGTTTAAATGATGTATTGGTTAACGTCAATTTTATGTCCTGTCTCCTCTACAATATGTTTCGCAATAGAGGAGCCAGCTAGGTCTTCGTCTGTTCTCATCATTAATGGGTTCTGAAGATTCTGTTTGTTTCTGGAGTCATTTAGGAATATGCTGTGAAACCCGTCAGCCAATCTTTACTTGAAAAGATCGATGAGTCTTACGTATGTATGTATGTCCACACGTGCATTCCAATTAGTGAATAAAGTGGGATGTGACATCATTTTTTGCATGTTCAAAGGCCTTAGATGGATGGATATATTGGCTTCACATTCTCAATTATTATGATATTAGCTGCATAAAAAGTCCTTTTAACAGCAGCGTTCAATCTTTGTCTAGTTGTTAAACTGCTATGATCCCCGGCCCATATAGGGTAGGTAGCTTGATGTACACGCCTTTCCTAGGGGCGAGTTGTAGAGTGAAACGGTCTTCCTCTGCTACAGACAGATGTAAGTGATATGCTTGCTATTCTGAACTTCATTCATTCGATTTAAAATTGAGGTGGTAGAACAAGACTTATCATGTACATACCTTCCATAAAGTAGTACATTTTCGATTAAATCCTCCGATAAATTCTCAATGTGTTGCGCAAACACATTACACGATTCAATCGAATTACCTCTTCTTATTTGCTAGTTTGTTACTGGGAAAGCCTTGTTCAGCATTTGACATAGGCATTCTTCAGGGTCTCAGTCACCTTACTAACATGAAGTAGTTCCTTGTCACCAAAATATATTAGATTTTTCCAATACTCTGTTATCATATTCAAACAAAAAAGAAGCAGCATAAAGTATTCAGACGGTAAGCACTTTTCTTGTCTAAATTACCAAAAATGCACAAATGCCTGTGAAATTCGATTAGGTGTAATAAGAAAAGGTGCATTTCACTGGAGGGAATAGATTCGGCTAGTCTGAAATATTAAGTTCTATATTTTCTATAGTTTGGTTTGTAAGGGTTAGTTTTGTTTTAACGAGTTGATCACAGATTGACATCAGTTAGAGAACCATTGAAAACCAGCCACAGGGAGTACTGAATAACCAGCTGTTTCATTCTAGTTTTGGGAATCATCAGCAGTACGCACCCACTCCACCGGGGTTCGAAACCAGGACCTTCCGGTTAGAAATCAAGCTCTCCAGCTGATATCAACCCGTGATTAAGTAGTAAAAACATAACTAACCCTTACAAACAAAACTATAGGAAAAATTAATCTGATGCACGCTAGTGACCACTAGCTACAGGATGGAGTTTCCTGCAGTCAGCCAGTTCTAGTGAGAAGTTGTGACCACCAGTAAGGTTCATCCAGATGTCACGTGTGAGGACGGATGTCCCACCGATGACCAACGATTGGTTGGTGCCAGTCGCGCTAAATGCATCACGAATTGGTAGAAGTTAGAATTCATGGGTTGGCTGGCCATTGAGGAATCGGGTCCCAGTGAGTGGCTGAATGGTATACGAGTCAACTACCTGGCCTTGTAACCGAAAGGTCCTGGGTTCGACCCTTGGTGGTGGGTGCGTACTAACGATGATTCCCAAATTAGGCTGATGAAACAGCTGTCCGATACTCTGGTGCTGGTTTTCAATGGTTCCCCAACTGATATCAATCCGTGATCAACTCGTAACTTCTATATGCTGATGCTATAGAACTGTCAGGGAATTCAGGACAACAATGTCTCCTTAATAATGGATCATTTAATTCGAATAAATTGAATTCATCAAAACGAACGGAGATTAATTACAGAATTCAGATAGTAAGCTGGATGTGTCTAGCATACCTGAATAGTTTAGAAAAAAATAAAACTCTAGCCAAAGTAGAGGATATGCTGCTTTTGGTTTCGGCAGAGAGATGCCATAAGTGGGATTAAATGTTCAATACGAATTTCTTTTTTAACTACCAAGCACTAAAAAGTTTTGATGAGTGTTACAGTGATATGCAAAAACAAAAACAAAAAACACCTAAATTAAATCAATTAAATAAGTGCAAATTACCTGTACTTTCAAAACCTTTACGAATGAACCACTGAGTGACTCGTCCATCACTAGATACAGATACGAGAACTTCTGACAACATTTCAGCACGACCTGATTCTCTAACGATCCATTGAAGTTTTCGAATAGGTCCTAAGTGTCTACCTATAGCATGCCTGTAGATTAATGAAAAAGAAAATCTAAGTTTTATGTAATAAAAGCAACAATCTTGTAAGTGCTGAAATGATTAGATAAAATAATTTATAATCCTGAAGGACTCATCGATCTTTGCAAGTAAAGATTGGCTGGCCGGCTTCACAGCATATTCCTAAATGACTCCAGAAACAAACAGAATCTTCAGAACCCATTAATGATGAGAACAGACGAAGACCTAGCTGGCTCCTCTATTGCGAAACATATTGTAGAGGAGACAGGACATAAAATTGACGTTAACCAATACATCATTTAAACCTACCTGTCTATAAAAGTGTGTTTGGTGGAGAGCGTATTCTAGAGTTTGTGGAAGCTAGCCCTAGCTGGAAGTTAGGAAGTTTGAACCACCGCTATGCGTTCAAAGCACCAATTCGTCATCACACTAACTAAACCTACCTTCCTTACTTGTTGGTGGTGGTAAAGTTTGTTTTGATCGCCACCAGCCAGTCAGGGTAGATGTACTGTGCTACCTCTGTTATTTGGTTTATTCATTCATCTTCATTGTTATTTTCACGCCTTCAATATGTCCCCCTTTTAACTTGACCTAAGACGTCAAGTCAAGTAGTCTGTTTTCTCACCCACCTCATAACTCTCTTTATTATTTCCACATGTTCCGTATATTCCCATGACAAGTCCGTGTGTGTGTGTGGTGGATCAGATTGTTCGCAATGTGTTGCGCGCAGATATGCACATTACACACACGATTCTCACAGACAAATTACGTCTTCTGATTGCTTTATCTAAATTCATGAAGGGAACTATATGTTTTAAAAAGCATTTATAGTGCCGGTGTAAACTATTAATTCTTTCCAAATAACATTCATTCTTAACAGTTTTCATTGGTCGGTGTATATTCTGTTGACTATCGTATGTATAAGCCACTGGGTGTGATTTTATTTCATTTCTATAACGAGTATTTAGGCCATCGACTCATTGAACTGATAGATGTCTAACTCACCTCAAAGTTATACATTCCCTAGTTCTCAGTGGTGAATTTTACATGAGCAATATGCTTCAACTTTTAACTTTCATTGGCTGGTTTCTGAAATTATTTAACTTCAGTTAACAGTATTTGTTTAACCTTTATGAAACATACAAACCTGATACAAAAGCTTGCCATGAAATTTCTATAAAAAATGTGTGCTACTTATGAGTAGAACAAAGGATAAAAGTAAAAAGTTCATGATTCCATAGTAGTTTGTTGATTAGATGGATATATCACACAGTCAGTGAATGAAACAGTATTAGTATTTACTGGGTGACAAAGTTTTGAACACACACAATTCATTATTACTGTTCATAATCATACACATCACCAATTATAATCACACGACTTCGAAACTTGACTTTTATAGTTTTCTTTGTTCTCTCGTATTTGTCGTCATTGGGGCAGTAGAATTTTCTAGATATTCGAGTGGACAGGTGTTAAATCATTCCTATAACACATATTCACTCTCAGTTGATTCGATAAACAAAGCTTCTGTTATCAATCTTTCCCACCCTACACCCAGCTGTGACATTAGATTTTAAAACTGTTATCTGGTCGCATCCTTTTGTATGATAGGTTGTGAACAATTGTATGTAGTGCTATAGCTGAAATGCTTAAGTGACAGAGCACACAAACTATGTAGTACAACACACGACTGTTTTGTTTAAACGCACACATTTATGATTTGTACTCATATGTATATAGTTAATATTTTGTTCATTGATTTTTGTGCATTGAGAATTGTATTCCAGGTTTTTGACACTTGTTGTGGTGCTGAATAGTCAGCCTTGTTACATGTATGCATCCGGTTTGAGCTTACTGAATATAGAATATTAAAACAATTAGTCCCTTTGATAAATTTGAAGAAGGTATTAAGAAAACAAATTTCGCCGCGAGATGATATCGTCATTTCGTAGTTTCTTTACAACCGCTTTACAACTAGCAACATGGTTAACAATAATAAAATAAAGTTCATGAGTAATTTTCATGAACTTTATTTTATCATTGTTAACCATGTTAGTTGTAAAGCGGTTGTAAAGCAGAAACTACGAAATGACGATATCATCTCGCGGCGAAATTTGTTTTCTTGATGCCTTATTCGAGTATAGAATAGATTGTGTTATGAGTAGTCTGTCTCTCTTTCGATTTGTTGATATTAGTTTTTCAAATAGAAACATTGTTCTTCCAATCGATATTGTGGTTTTTGTTGAATGCATGTGCACGTCTAGATGAATTAATTTTGTTTCTAAATTCTTGTAAGCTACTTGTGTTCTTTCCTCTTGGGGTTGGGGTTGACCTTGAATCGTTAGGCAGGCAGGCAGGCAGGCGTTTATCTTTAATTCACTGTATATTTTGAGTGATCTGGACGTGTTTTTCGCCCAGATATTTAGTCGGACAGTCAGTCAGTTAGTCAGTGACCACATTGTTTTTATGCATCATCACTTTTGTGGGATATTTCATCAGTTGATTTATTTTCTTTTTAATTAGATTCATTCGTGGATTTAAGGGTTGTGGGAATGGCAATATTCTTGAGGTTTGTTAGAATTGGTTGTGATGTAGCATTTTTGTATGGTATTATGATTGTTTTTTTTGGCATTCTCATTCCATCTTGTCATTCTCCGGTTTCATCCTCCCTTGTGTCTTTTTTGTATTATCTTTGATAAATTCTTTTGGGTAGTTGTTGTCCAGTTATGGTAGTAGGATTATGCATAGGACGTTTATTTGTTTACGCTGGTCGTCTGGTGTTGTCTACATATTGTATCTGTCTGAAAGACCTTGTATTAATAAATCTCCTTGTTTTACCGTGAGTCGATGAGCTAAGTGGTAGTCAAGGAATCTTGCAGAGTGTCTTGTTGCATGATATCCTTGTGTATTGTGCAATTTTATCTTTCCACACATCCTACTAGACAGATTACATGATTTTGTCCTAATTTCAAACCATTTTGACTGACATACGAATTATCTTTCTCATCTGTCCAACTAGTCGGTAGCTTTGGTGTTTCTGTCATTGTTTTGTTTGTGATTGTGTTGTGATGATTTCGTGCTTAGGGTAGGTTGGGTGGTGTGGTGTATAGGGTGGAGATTGTAAATGTTGATTGATCTTTTCAAGATATGTTGGTTGTTTTGTTCAGTAGTAGTAGTGCCGGCAACAGATCGTTTTATTACGGAAATCAGCACGTATTTTTACATATTTCATGTACATTATTATTATAGCTTATTCAAGCAGGCAAACACAGTCTTCTGATTGGTTGTTTCTGGTTTCTCAGAAAGTTAAGTCATCTATCTGCGAATCATATTTGCCCACGTTAAGTCTGCTGTGATTGGTTGTTGAATCAGCCTTGTTCACATTTTGTCAAGGCCAATATTAGTGACCTGGACATTGACGTAAATTAATGTTTACCAATTGGCTAGCAGCCTGCTCTCACCACACTACCACTTGTCATTCTAAATCATTTCACAGATGATCCTATACAATTCATTACTACATTAAATTGTCTATCTCCTTTTCAAATAAAAGAAATCATGAGGGAGAAATTTAGAAGAAAAAAAAACGGTCAAGTTAAACTTTAAGCACCACTAACTATCACTAATGGAGTGCGCGATCTCACAAATGATCTTGAAACGCTCACTGAGCAAGCTATTGAGATATGGCCAATAAATAATGTTGTCATCATCAATAAAATATCTGCTAATCGAAGTGCTATACTATTAAATGGGACATCTGGCAAGTTACAGCTTAGGTTTGGGAAGATTAAGGTACCCTTTAAGCCAAGGACAAGTTAGGCTTAGGTTAACCTAATAAAGGCAACATTAGGGTTGGTTTGAGTTTGATTACAGTTTGCTGAGGGATATTTCCACGTCAGGGTTGGGTTCAGGAAAGATCAGGGTTATTGTTAGGGTTAGAAGACCTAAACAACTACATGCATAGAATGTGGTTAAATTACTCTGTTGATATAAGAATGGAACTTGTGGACTGTGGCTGAAGAGTGTAATTCCACTGTGAGTAAAATTTATTCTGATAAAGTCTCACAGTGTTATACAGTAACATTTACTGATGAAAACGTTGTGAGCACAATATTACTGTATAACACTATGTATTATTATTGTTCCCTGGATTACTAGTGGAACATAGGGCTTCAACTGCACGTCTCCATTTGCTTCTGTCTTCTGCTGTATTTCCTTTTCACCTGCATCATCCATGTTAGTCCACACTGTTTCAACTCCTCTTCACACGATCTCCTCAATGTCACCCTTGCACTGACGGCCCACTCGCCGCTTGCTTCCCTTCTGGGTTCCACTCGAGCAGTGCCGTGATGCGCGCGCGATGTCACCAGCGGCGGCCTCCTCAGCGAGTGTCCAATCCATCTCTTCACTTTCTCCTGTATATTCGTTGTTGTTCAGCGATTGCTTCTTGTTTTGTTGGTTCCTTCGCATAGTTTCTTGTTTTTGGTGATTCGTTCCGGCCTGGCCATCTGATCGTCAGCAAATAGAGAGCGAAGACAGTTAGTTGTTGATAAAAGTAAGGTCTGCAACAGGCTGTTGGTGGAAATATTCTATGTTTCTGATCCGTTCTATGCAGAAGAACTGACTGACATGACGTGTTTGTGTTGAAAATTCGACCGAATTTTGTTGTTGATATGACGTTGAGTGACGAAGATTTCCAGATTGGTTTCAGGTGGATGAGTGAATGCGTTTTTCGCCTTCCCGATTCTCGACTTGACATCCTATGAGACACTATTTGACACTATGAGACTTTATCGAAATAAATTCTATCCACAATGGAATTATACCCTGTTGATAATTCAACCTAAAACTGAGACCAGGTATCCTCTGTAAAACACTTTTTAATACATTTTTTATGCATTTTTCATAAATACAAGTATTCCATACACAAAAAAATGCCTCCTTCACGTGACTGTTGCACTGGAGGTCATTCAAACCAATTGGCACTTAGTGGTGCTTAAAGTTTAACTTTGTCAATCACACAGTACAATTTTCATACTTTGTTGTAGACAAAAAATATTAAAACAAAGAAATACACACTTACGTCGTATCAACAACTGGGACTGGATCATTTTTGCGTACATCATATACATGAATTACACCACTAAACATCCCCACCTATAATTCAGTGAAAAAAGAATTATTGTGTTGATTTAGTAAATATGAAATCTTGAAATTAAGACTGGAAATCACCGCCTCACAGTAAAAACAATTAATGAAATTGTGTTATTAGAAGAGATTCTAATTGCCATTTGACCAGTACTACGTTGATATACGCATAAAACTTGGCCACTGTGGTGGTAGAGTATAACTTCATTATGGATAAGATTTTATTTTGATAAACTATCACACAGTGTAGTGTTGTTATACAGTAAGTAATATTAACTGATGCGACCACACGCCATTTCGAGCACAAACTATTGCCACTCATAATCATATCAAGTTACTCATAATAAGTAACTTGCTAGAATGTTGTGATGTGCTTGAATTGAATTGAAATAGAATACAATTTCAGATTATTTATTATCCTCCTCTGATTTCACTGAATGACTGACTGACTGGTGATAATAATATCTTCCATGCATATTCCTGGTATTTGCATTGAGTCACTTCTGTTGCATGTGTTGTGTTGGGTGCAAACTCGATGAACCAGGCAGGATTCAGTAGTCAACATTTCAACATATCTCTATCTCCACCTACCTAGATTACTTCTTAGAATCTTGACCCTCTCTCACCATGCTATTGTGTGGTTGTGTGTTAATGCATGCAGTGCAATGTAGTGCTGGGCTTTTTTCCGAATTACTTATCTTCTCGGGTTGGGTCAGCCAATCTTACCTTAGCTAAATTCTAATGTTCCGGCAATCTGATTGCCCCCGATCTACTAGTCTGACCTATTTGGTTTACCTTACTCACAGTTATTGCAGGGTATTTTGTAAATTAAATTATTTTCTCTAATTGGGCCCACCGGGTCTTTTAGCCTACAGAGCTTGTCCTAGCTGAGTGAGTATTTAGGTTTGAATGCCACCACCGACAGTAAAACATCTGATCTCAAGAGACTAGTCAAGGAACTCAATGGGTTTCTACGGTAATCTGTCAAACTTGCGATAGCGAAAGCGAAAATAACTTTTTTTCAATGATTGCATCACCAATCGTGAATATATCCAAAGTGATTTTGGAAAGCACTGAGATGAAGTCACAGATATATCCCAACACAAAATCTCTCCGACGACATGCACTGAATCTTGCCGAGTCTATTTAAGCACGTAGTCCAGAACTGCAACGCAACATTTCGCAAAGGTCTCCAGACACCCACGATTCGCTACCTAGTGAAACTCACAGGTTTACAAAATACGTCAATACAGTCACTGAGAAACTGTAACAATCTACTTACAAAAAAGCCTCAAATCTATCAAAGCATATAAACAGTTTCTTGATTACCCTTCAAAATTCATTTTTAACTACTCTTCAGTAGTTTTATCCAACCTGCAGCTAGCAGCCTCCTATCCATGGGTCCAAAATTCTGCGACGTCAACCTAAATGACAACAGACTCCATAATCATGTACAATTCGGAAACGTAATTATCCAAACAAGTGATTTAACTCCAACCTCCGAACAAGAACTGCAGCCATTCAAATCAGCAAAAATCAATTGCTGTTATCACTTTCTGAATACAAAACCAAAAGTCTACAACCACTTAACAAGGCAACATAGAGAAGAATTAAATCAACTGAAACAAATTAAAAAAAACTCCTAATAACCCGTCCAGATAAAGGAGCTGGCATAGTCCTTATGGACAGAAAAGACTATATCTGTCTGTCTGTTTTCGACATAGAGCTTTGCACATATGTGCACCAATTCAAGCCGCCACACTCCACTCCATGTCGCATACAAACCAACAGAAGAAAGTAGAAGAAATGCATAATAGAGACAGTAAACAGAGGTGTGAGACAAAGGAATAGTGATAACGAAGAACAATATAGTTTCATTTGAAATCATAAGTCACAAGGAGTGGATGCATCTGTGCCAGCCAGCCATTGAGAACAATGAGTTTGAGCCATATCACCAACTGTTTCCAGCCTTCATTGGTTTTTACCGTCCCAATGACCAAAAAGTCCATACCTCCCCATGTGGACTAAACTAACTGTTGTGGATCTGATTGACTGGTGAGCAAGCTATGTTTTGGTTTAATCTCCGCTAGCTCTCTCCTTTCCAGCCTGACCCTCTGTCAGCTAACACTGCCCATCGAGGAAGGAGATGACTAGGCATACGTAGCACATGTCCTAACCATCTCAGTCGATTTAATTTTACAGCCCCATCGATTTATTTCCTCTCCTACTTACCTAGCACTCGACCGGTGCCTAACCTCAATATTGGTCACCTTATGATACCACTTTACACGGGAAATAGAACGCAGGCACCTATGATCAAAGACAGTTAATCTTTACATGTTTTCCACTCTCAATCGCTATGTCTCACTCAAGTCCATAAAAGAGGACGGAGCAGACTGATGAGCAGTACACCCGCCCTTTGGTCGATAGTCGGATATCATGTCTACTAAGCCAGAGACGGCGTAATTCTGTTTCCAGAACATCGGGACTACAGATGCGTCGGATGAGGGTGGCAAGTGATTTAATTAAATTTCGGTTTTGTTGAATGGGTATCCAGCTAGAGAAGCTTGTTAGCTGACCACTCCACGTAGGTTTTCTATGTTACTACCCTAGTTTCATTAACACTTAATTTTCTTGACTTGTATTACCAACCTTCACCTGTTTAGTTAAAAGTAACCTTAACCAATTGGAATTTTGTTTGACAAACTTAATGTACACATACATACAAAACAACACATATATATATATATATATTATAGAAAGATACCGTGTTGGTGATATAAATATCTTTTCACAATTGTATTAATCAGTGAAAAAGAAAGAGTACAACTTACAGCTAACAAGTTGGCATGAATTTTTGACCAGCCAACTGCTGTTACTCCACTTGGTGTTTCATAATAGCGTTCAGGGTATTCAATGAACTTCAGCGACCAACAACATACTAATCCTTTACGCTGTTGATCATATTCAAATTGTCCATAGCCGACAGCAAGAATATTTGGATTTTGTTTGTTCCACGCCATATCCGCTATGTTACGACCCTATATTTGAAGAAAAAAACTAATAATAGTAATAATTTTGCTTTATTCCAAAAACAGTACTAATGATACAGCAAAGAATTTTCAGCATTTCAATACAATATTGCTTCTAATTTACTCAAAACGACAAAAATAAGATTTTCATAATAATAATAATAGCTTGAATAATATAGTATCTAAAGTCCTAGGCTGAATAATATTGTGTAGAATAAGTGGTGCTCGGGAGGCCCAAACACGAGAGAACCAGGTGGCAGGCTTTAGACCAGGAAGAGGGTGTATTGATCATATCTTCACCCTTCGACAGATTCTATCACAAAAGCATTCTTACCGGCGTCCAAAAATCGTTATATTTCTTGACTTAAAGGCGGAATCGATTTTGTCGAGCGACAGGTACTCTGGTGATACTTGAATGTAAAGGGAACCCCGAGAAAATACATTGCACTGATCAAGTCACTCCCTCTACTCGAACTCATGCCATCAGCCAGGTGAGAGCTTTCGGTGAGTTGTTGTCTGAAGTGGTGACGACTGGTGGTGTCCATCAGGGATGCCCACTATCCTCATTTCTATTCAACTTCATCATAGATATCATACTAATGGATTTAACCCTAACTCACTTCAGAGACTCAGGCAGAGAGAGATTGACTAGCTACCAGGGAGGGAATAATCTTGTTGACTTAGAATATGCAGATGATATATATAGTCCTTACTCCTAGATGAAGACGCTGACAAAATGCAGACATGGTCTTCTGAACACTTTGAGCTGCAATCCACGAATGTTTGGCATGCGATTCGCTCGTGCTGCTGTCGAATGTAAGATGATGTTACAAGAATGACTGGACTACACTGACTCCTGGTTTACAAATAGGCAGAAGTGAAGTGGTTGGTGGAGCCCGTTGACCGCTTCGCTTATTTGGGAAGTACCATCAACCCGCCAGTGCCAACGGGTTGATCTCTGACGAAATCTCAGCTGAGTGAGTACGGATACAGAGGACTAGTTTCGCATATGCGCGCCAGTTTACGCCGTCTCTTGCTTAGTAGACGTTATATCTGGATGACTGTCGACCAAATGGCGAGTGTACTGCTCATCAGTCTGCTCCGTCCTCCTTTACGGCTAGCTGGGAGACCTGGCCATTGAGAAGGGAAGACATGAAAAGCCTGGCTAGCTGTCTTTCATCATAGGTGCCTGTATTCTGTCTCTCGTGTGAAGTGGCATAATAAGGTGAGCGATATTGAGGTCAGGCGTAGGTGGAGTGCTAGGTAGGTGGGGAAATCAATCGACAAGACTGTGAAATTGCATCGACTGAGATGGTTAGGACATGTGTTACGAATGAATCCCTAGTCATCGCCTTCCTTAACTGACGGGCAATGTTAGCTGATATAGGGTCAGGCTGGAAAAGAGCCAGCCAGCGGTGGTCAAACCAAAACATGGCACCAGTCAGTGAAATCCACAACAGTCAGCTTAAGCCAGCCGCGTAGGAAGGTGTAAACTTTTTAGTTGGGGTTATCCAGACGGTAAAGTCATATTTAAAGACTATACAGACGTGCTGAGGGTTGTCTTCCGTGTAAAAGATAGACAGCTGACATGTCCATCGCATATGTAATACAAATACTGCTATGGAATCATACTAAAAGCGCTGAGTCGTGTATCTTGTATGATTTATTGAAAGGAGGACCACCTAGTTCTAAGAAACTGACACTGGATGGTCAGTTGTCCTGATTAGATCACTTTGATTATGAAATAAAAATTCAAAACATCTGTAAGAATTCTAAAGGTTTACTCTAATGATATAAAACAATTAGTTCCCTTCATGAATTAAGATAAAGCAATAATAATCGTGTACTGTATTTGCGCAACATATTTCCAACAATCTGATCCATCACACACACACACGGACTTGTCATGGGAATATACGGAATATGTGGAAATAATAAACAGAGTTATGAGGTGGGTGGGTGAGAAAACAGACTACTTGACTTGACGTCTTAGGTCAAGTTAAAAGGGGGACATATTGAAGGCGTGAAAATAACAATGAAGATGAATGAATAAACCAAATAACAGAGGTAGCACAGTACATCTACCCTGACTGGCTGGTGGCGATCAAAACAAACTTTACCACCACCACCACCAAGTAAGGAAGGTAGGTTTAGTTAGTGTGATGACGAATTGGTGCTTTGAACGCATAGAGGTGGTTCAAACTTCCCAACTGCCAGCTAGGGCTAGCTTTCACAAACTTTAGGATACGCCCTGCCCCGAACATGCTTTTATAGATAGGCCTTTAAAAGATGTATTGGTTAACGTCAATTTTATGTCCTGTCTCCTCTACAATATGTTTCGCAATAGAGGAGCCAGCTAGGTCTTCGTCTGTTCTCATCATTAATGGGTTCTGAAGATTCTGTTTGTTTCTGGAGTCATTTAGGAATATGCTGTGAAGCCAGCCAGCCCTTACTTGCAGAGATCGACGAGTCCTCCCTATGCATGTGTGTGTGTGTGGGCACATGGATATTCGAATTGGTAAATACAGTGTCATGTGACATCATTTTTTGCATGTTCAAAGGTCTTAGATGGATGAATATATTGCTTTCACATTCTCAATTATTATGGTATCAGCTGCATAAAAAGTCTTTTAGACCACAACGGCGTTCAATCTTTGTCTAGTTATCAAGCTGCTATGATCCCCAGCCCATATAGGGTAGGTAGCTTGATGTACACGCCTTTCCTAGGGGCGAGTTGTAGAGTGAGTGGGTCTTGGTGTTCCACTGACTACTTTACATCATCTCCTGATGAACTTGTCTGGATAATTTTTATCGTCCAGAGCAGAGTTGATTCATCCCCTGTCCACCCAGATATCTGGAAAATTCTACTACCCCAATGACAACAAATAGGAGAGGACAAAGAAAACTATAAAACTCAAGTTTCAAAGTCGTGTGATTATAATTTGTGATGTGTATGATTATGAACAGCAATAATGAATTGTGTGTGTTCGAAACTTTGTCATTGAGTAAATACTAATGCTGATTCACTCACTGACTGTGTGATACGTCTAACAAACAAACTAATATGGAATTAAAACGGCTGCATTTCTACTGACAAATGAACATGACTGCGGTATTTCTGTAAATAAATGTCGGATCAAACACCGTTGAATCCACTAATTTCTCTCGTGTTGTGGATTGAATACTTTTCATAAACTTAAACACTTTTGTTAATTACATTGGGTGGAATAAATGAAAATAAACTCTCTGCAGGCTAAATTTACAAAAATACAAGAGAAGAAGTTAGACTATTGAAGAATTGAAGAAGTTGTTGACGGGGGAATTCTCTGAGCACAAAACAACTAGCCGCGCACTTTAATAATTCCCTTTTATAAATTTCAACAAAGAAAGAAGAAACATTGGAGTGCAGAATAATCCGCATCCATTTTATTTCATCGGTTCTCATCACCAGCTGCGTACAACCTGAATTTTTTGTTCATTAGCAAGCATATTGTCAAAGCGTCATATTGAAATAAGGCCCTTCGATTTACATGGTGTCTAAAGTGTTACGAAATATGCATAAATATCTTGTTAGCGAGAAGTTTCTTGAAAAAAATTAATTAACAGTTGTGTTTTTGGGGTGGTAACAAAAGAAAATTAGTAATAGATACATAATTAGATAAGAGAAGATCAAAACTTTTGGTGCATATGAGGTCAGATGACACGTTGATGATGTTAAACAGTGAGGGTGAGACGATGTGAAATCATTTTTTGCATGTTCAAAGGGCTTAGATGGATGAATATATTGCTTTCACATTCTCAATTATTATGGTATCAGCTGCATAAAAAGTCTTTTAGACCACAACGGTGTTCAATCTTTGTCTAGTTATCAAGCTGCTATGATCCCCGGCCCATATAGGGTAGGTAGCTTGATGTACACGCCTTTCCTAGGGGCGAGTTGTAGAGTGAGTGGGTCTTGGTGTTCCACTGACTACTTTACATCATCTCCTGATGAACTTGTCTGGATAATTTTTATCGTCCAGAGCAGAGTTGTATCAGCTTTCTTTCTTCCTCCCTATCATCAAGTGTGTCTGTCTGCCTTCTGTGAATATTCGTTGGATTCTACTGAAGAGGCACCTCGCTCACTAAGGAAGGCTCTTTTGTACCGAATATGGCAGGCAGAAACTGTGGTAATTAAGATACAATCCTGTCTTGTCCGGGGAGGTTTTCTATAAATTGGTCATCGTTTTATTGACCTATCAAGCCCTCCGTCGACTAAGCAGTATGTCTAGGAAAGGTAAACAAGTATCTTCCTCTACTACAGACAGATGTAAGTGATATGCTTGCTATTCTGAACTTCATTCATTCGGTTTAAAATTGAGGTGGCAGAAAAAGACTCATCACTGGTGATTACAATATCATCTACATACCTTCTATAAACTGGCACATTTTCGATTAAATCCTCAGATGCATGACCCATAGATACCTGCTAAAAGGGGCCCTAACGGACTTCCCATAGCAACACCGTCAACTTGGCGGACACAATCGCCTTCAAATGTAAACCTAACATTTTTAGTACTTAGAAATAATAAATCCCTTAAATAAGATATAGGGAACGGGATGAAATAAATGTTTTTTTTTTATGCTTAAAAACTGCTCTGAAGATGTTGTCCAAAAGGAATGCGAAAGCTCCACAACTAAACTAACCACCTCAGAGAACTTTATTAATTACAATCCTATAAATTTTAGTTAATATAAATGAGACTGCACAGCTTCTAAGAATGACTTTATTGATAAGAAGAATTATTTTCACTGAAACATCCTTTGTTTGTGTTCTTAACTCAATGGTGCACTGTCTTGTTCTGTTAGATTACCCCAAAACCGTTGAGTGTTTAAAAGACCAGTCAAGAAGTGAAATAGTAATAATTAATAGTTATTCGCTTGCGTTCCGAGTGGAACATAGGGCAGGCTTCAACAACACATCTCCACTTCATTCTGTTTTCTGCCGTCCTCTTCGGCTTCCTCCACGATTGCCTAAACTCTCTCATCTCTTCCTCACACGATCTTCTCCATTTCACACCCCAACACAGACGACCAACTCGTCACTCCCCATTTGGATTCCACTCGATCGATGGCCTGCATTGTGTGTGTGATGTCAATGGACGGTTTCCTTAATGTATTCCCCGATCAATCCGTCTCTAATCCATTTCTCCTACAGATTTTGTTAAGCGATCGGCTCTCACCTGTTGGTTTGTTCCACTGCAGAGTTTCTTGTTACTAATTCTTTCTGGCCGGCCAACTGGCCATTTGATCTTCAGTATGGAGCCGGCCAGCGAAGCAGGCAGCTGTTGATTAAAAGTCTCTGGTAACTTGTTGGATATCCTTTTCATGACACGCAGTGCAAGTTCCTGATCCGTATAGAAGCAGTGACCGACTTGATATTGGTGTTGAAAATCCAAATCTTGTTCCTTATGTTGACTGTAGAAGATTTCCAAACTGGTTTCAGGTTGATGTAGGCGTATCTTGTCTTTCCGATTCTGACCATGACATCTTCATCTGTTCCAACTGCCTCTAGTTGAAACGATGCTTCCTAGCCAGATAAGTGAACGAAGCAATCTCCGTTAAATCTCTCCTGTTGATGGTGATTGGTGCCGGCTGTTGTGTTGCTGTTGATTGGTTGGTTGTCTTCATCACCTCCGTCTTCCCTCTGTGTTCACCTGAAGTCCTGCTTTCACTGCAACCTTGTTCAGCCAGTTTGCTGGTTTTCGCCGGCAAGTCTTCGAGTTTGTGTGACATTAGACATATATCATCCAGGCGTGAAATTCAGATCTTTCAGAGTCTTCTTATCAGACATCTAGCGTATTCCTGACTCCTCGCCGCCAACAGTCTGGCGTATATACCTTCCTTCCATCTTTTGGAGTTGAATCTTGCTGTCATGATCCTGGGTGAAATGGGTTCCCACTGCGTTAGAGCTTTGGATGCCTCTGGTGATATCATGATAGCCACTCACCCCCTCAGTGTGTTTGTCACTGTCTTCTGGTTGACCGGAGTAGTTTATTGATTGTCACGTTGACAATGTTGTCAATCGGCATGCACTTCATTTGCTTTCGCAGATACCCAGTAATTCTAAACCATATCTTCGCATCTCTTTGGCTACCTGGGCAGCCTTCCCAACTAGTCTCGTACACTGTACGGGCATTCCATGTACCCATTCTTACTCTTGCTTTCATCGAGAGAAGATATATCGGCTGACTGGTTGGCTTCCTGAAGATTGGCTTTCACCAGCCAACCCGCTGTGTTATTTCGCCTCTCCGATTCAAGCAAAGAATAAGATTATTTTTTGAAGTGTTTCCCTAACAATCTGAAAGATTTAGTGGTGTTTAGGGTTGCTAGCCCCACGCCCGAACCTCCTTCTCTACCCTGGCTTGGGATCTCCAAGAAAACTAGCGAGCTAGTTAACTAGGCATATATATATCTTAATATCTTTCATTCTGAATAGTGAAATAAATAAGGGGAGGGAAATAAAGTCCCATAATTGCCTTACTTAAAAAACTGAGAAAATCAATACTGTTCAAGAGACACACAAAGCCACTTTGTACAGATTTTAGACCAAATCATTACATGCAGGCATACTTAAGAAAATGATACGATTTAATGGAGGATTTCGTCATGAGCTGACATCAGTTAGAGAACCATTGGAGAACCAACCAGGAAGTACTGGACAGCCAGCTGTTTCGCTCTAGTTCGGGACTCTTCACAGTGCGCACCCACCACAACGCGTTTGAACCCGGGACCTTCTGGTCACAAGACTAGCGAGCTAGCTCGTATACCGTTGAGCCACTGAGACTTGTTCCAATGGCCAGCCAGTGCATGAATTATAACTTCGGCCAATTCACGACATATCGCGACCACTTCAAAATGTCTTCTTCGATTAGTGAGTTACTGCCTCATCTTCAAACTGCTGTACCTTACTAGTCACAACTTCTCACTAGAACCCCAGGTTAACTGCCTACCTGAATAGGGCCAGTAGCTAGTGAGCATCAGATTAATTAATATTCAAGTATTGGATTTGTAGGGGTTTTTGTTTGATTGGATGGAGGATTTCATCATGAGCTGACATCAGTTAGATAACCATTGGAGAACCTGCAGGGAGTACTGGACAGCCAGCTGTTTCGTCAGCCTAGTTTGGAACATTTCAGAAGTACGCACCCACCACACTGACAGGGTTCGAACCTAGGACATTCTGGTTACAAGGCGAGCTCGTTAGTTATGTTTTTACGAGTTGATCACAGACTGATACCCTTACAAATCAAACTATAGAAAATTAATCTGATGCTCGCTAGTGACTTGCTACAGGATGCAGTTTCCTGGAGTCAGTTCCAATGAGAAGTCGTGACGACCAGTAAGGTCCATCCAGATGTCACGTGTGAGTTTGGATGTCCCGCCGACAACATTGGTTGGGGTCGCCCTACATCATGCACTGACCACTGAATCGGATCCTAGTGACTGAATAGTATACGAGCTAGCTTGGCTTGTATTCACAAGGTCCTGGGTTCGATTCCTCTGTGGTGGAGTATAATGTGTGTTGTCAATACTGATATAGTTGGGGGGGGAGGGGGAGAGAGCGGAGCTTTGGAATAATCGTTCAGCTACCACTATGATAGCTTAAAAAATTAGCGAAAAATAGCAACAACAACAACAACACTTAAAACTTGTAATAACTTAAGATAATAAATGTTAACCAGTTAGTCCGAAGCACTAAGTGGGAAACGATGCACTCTGTGCTTCACCTGAGAAACCACCCTAACCTCCAGGACTATAGTGACGTTAGCCCAGTGACGATAAAGGTCGGTGTTACAACCAAAACTCAAGTGAGCCAGGTCTATACCCTGCACCAGTGTGAAACATGACCCCCCCCCGAATTGAAAATATACAGTCACTACTCTGTCTATTTAACAACTGCTACTTCAGGAGAACGGCTGGCATCCACTGGCATCATTATACATACATATATGCGATTTCTGGTTCCAACGACGTGCGTTTGGACAACATAGTGGATCTCGTCTTTCAATAAGTGATGTGATTACATTCTACAAATCCTATAGTAGACACAGCATAAGCTACATAGATGATATGAGCGTGGGTTATATGGTTCTCATGACTCGCTTATATGACGACTGTGTATGGTTTTCTATAGTCTTCGTAGGCGTATAGAAGCTATTTGCATGCTAAACTGGTTGGCAGGGATAACGATTTCATTGAATTTGGTGGCTGCTGGCTTCGTTTTTAGGGACTTATTGTCACTATAGCGTCGCTATGCGTGCTACTTTTGCATACAATAATACTCGTTCGGCTAGTTTTGTATGCGAGATGAGTTCTTTTGGGCTTGTCTATGCAGTGCATAATTGATTGACGCGATCAGTGATCGGCGTAACAATGCTTACCTATGCATTACTATGTATACTAAGGGTGCGAGTGGTCCACCAAGGGAGAGAGCTCTTGAGTGGTTGCGCCACAGAATGATCCTGCATGCCGGTCTCGTCTCGCAAGAGGCAGGGATGGGTGTGTTTGGTTCTCCTGAAAACCAATACCCAGTCAATGGGTGTATCACTGTATGAATAAACTGGCTGATCCTGCCAGTAGTCATATGTTTGTCTCAGACATTAAGCCATGCATGTCTAAGTACATTACCTAAAAACGGTGAAACCGCGAATAGCTCAACTTATCTCTTACCTTGGTCATTGGGCATTGAAAACGCCATAATGAAATAGTATGCGGATTTTGAGGATTAGCATCTTCTACCTTGGCAAAGTCACTTGTTCTGCCTGAACCACCTCCTTGAGAGCCAGAAATTGTAGGATTAACACTGCCTAAACTTGTTGTTGTCGTGAATGCCTGGGGCTGAGTTTTTGCCTGGGGTCCAACATGTCCAGCTGAATTGTCATCCACTGTTTGAGCTGTACTAATCGCAGGTATGTGAGCTGTGGTACTGGGCGAGTCTGTATCAGGTTGTTCTGCTGAATCCTGTGACTGATCTGTAAATAAAAACATTTTAAACTGATTGTTTCAAAATGAGTGTGGTCGTTTTTATAGCAGCCATATAACGCTAATATGTATTCTTCTTATTTGTATCCTTCTCTAAAATCCATATGATCTCACAATTCACTCTACGTCTTCGGTGTACCTTCAGTCACTTCCAGTTACATCAGTATTGGTATGTCGAACAGAGATTAGTCCAAATCAACTCAAAATAATTGAGCCAGCAAAGAATATCCTTTTCGATAAATTCCTCCTCTTGCTCTACAATCGTATCTACATATATGATAGCGAAGATTTGTAGCTCAGATGGGTGATTTTGATGTGGTTGTGTTCTCTGAGCTAGCTGGATAGTTAATTTGCAAAGCTTTCATCGCCCTGCCTACTAGGCAAGCGACATCTTCCTTCAGCGCATACACTTCAATTTCAATTTGTGGAAGTGAGCTTTTAGATTTCTCCACGAGTTCACCATTAATCATCTCTCCTGGTCGGTGACTACCTTGAACGCCGTGATAGGTTGTTTTTGTGTGTGTTTTCACACCCTCTAGGCGGCTACTTCTATTGGAACTGATTGTTTGTTTGACTTGAAGAGTGACCTTTTGTGTGTGTGAGTAGTGATATGATATGTCACTGCATACAAACAACAACGGACATCAATTCGACTGGGACAACCAACGTTCAAATATTAGACAGAAGAAACAACACCAAGAATGCTAACCAGAGAATTTTTAGAAGCCCATCTGGTATTCCAGTGAATCATCAATCAATAGACTCATCGAGATAGAAAACATTTATCAACCAATAAGAAACATACCTCACACACACACACATCCACAAAGAGTCTAACTTCAAGTCAAAGAAACAATCAGTTTCAATACAAGTAGCCGCCTAGAAGGTGTGAAAAGACACCATGGTGGTCACTGACCAGGACAGATGATTAATAAACTTGTAGAGTAATCTAAAAGCTCACTTCAATTGAAATGGAAGTATGCGCTGAAGATATCGCTTGCCTATAAGGGCGGTGAAAGCTTCCCAAATTAACCATGCAGCTCAGAAAACACAACAACATCAAAATATCTATATATGTTTATACACAAAGAATATTCTAGATAAGTAGTCATTATCGACATTAATTAATTTTTCCTTCACGTTCCCAGTGGAACATAGGACTTCAAGCTAGTGGCTTGAAGTTTCTGCAGAAGTGTTTATTTTTACAGGATGGGGTTGATAGCCTCATGCCCAACCTTTCCTCTTTGCCAACATTTTTTCTGGCCTAGCGAGGTAAAGAAGTGCGTCGGATGGGGATTGAACCCCGGACCATGTGCATAGTTGGTGAGCATCCTAACCTTTGTGCCACTGACGCTATCAATATTAGTGTTTTTTAAATAATATCGATTTGTAAAGTAAGATCACAATGGAATCACCACAGTTCACTGAAGATGCTCAAATAATAATAATAATAAAGATATAGTAACAAATACAATATCAACTAAAATTAGAAAAATTTGCACAAAAATTCATTTCAGGATCATTCACACCTGGATGGATGGCCAAGAGGGTAAGGATAATGTCTGAACCAACCAACTTCTTTTGGACGCACAAATTAGGCTTGTTACTCTGGATCCCAACGGCCAGCCAGCCAGCCTCAGCAATATTTAGTAGTCGAACTACTCTTTAGGCCAAAGTGAGACTTGTTGGTTGGTATGCGGTAGATGAATGACCCTGAAAGCCGCCACCTTGTTAACATCACTCAGTCTTGTGTTCTGTATCCACAAGAAGATGAGTGAGATAGATAGAATAGCGCTATGTGAATAGATTTCGTCTGTCCTTTACTTAACCAACCACTGTGCAGTGTGATGTTCAGATACTCAACGAGAAACACGCCTAACTGTGTATGGCCTATGTAATACTGAAATATTCCTATTCACCATTCACGTTAAAAATGTTTTGAAAAGCTGTATAGTAGTAGCGTATGTATATGTAATAGGATATTGTATTTCTCTGAAGCGACATAGCAGAAAAGGAGACCACAAGGAACATCACTATAATTACTGGCCTGTTTTTGTATGGAGATATAGTTAGACTTTAATTGGACACTAGCAACTACTGTGACGTGTCTAATCTTTTCTTTCGTGTGGAGAGAATTCTATCAGTCGGTTAGGTTTACAATGTGGCCACCATTCTAGGAAGCTCGCCATTACAGTGCATATTGATTTGATGATACTAGATAGTTGGAGGCAATCGGCCACAGTAAGCCTTACGCGGACCTAGGTTTCGTGCTAGTTGGCACTCATCAGTCAGTCAGCAAGGCGTATCTGCAACCTTCAAGGAACTTATGACCCTTCTGAGATTCGAACCCGCGTCACCCAGTGCCGCTTGCAGTCAGAGACGTTACCACTGAGCTCTTCGGGCTCGCGAATGACCTCTTGTAGGACTCTAGTGGGACTACAGCACTGGGTGACTCGGACTTGAATCTCAGAAGGGACATGAGCTGTTCCTTCAGTGTGGTTGCAGATACGCCTTGCTGACTCACTGGTGAGTTCCAACTAGCACGAAATCTAGGTGAAGCAAGGCTTCCTCTGGCCGATTGCCTCCAACTTTCTAATATCATATTGTTAGATTATTCAATGTCAATGACAGCTGCGTTATATCACAGTCAACTCTAATTTGATAACGAGTGTTTGCGGCTCACCTTAGGCAAAACGTGATTGGTTCTTCATTTTTGTCTATTCTGATCTTTTGATCCTCAGAGCTTTCAAAATCAGTCTAGTACTCGCTGACTGACTGACTGACTGAAATTTTCAACATGATGTTGAATTCACTCCACCTTGAGAAAACTGACATATTCTCCATGAAAATCTATTATACCTCATTATCGTGAAAATAGTGGATAACGCGCTTTGGCTAGTGTTTGAAACCACGGGCACTGGCTTCCAGCTTCACTGACAAAATACCATCACTCACTAGGGAATCCAGGTACATCCAGCCAACCGACGAGTATCAAACGGGACGAACGAGCATCCTGGATTCCATTTTCTAGTGACCATTCACCATCTGACTTCATAATGAATTTTGGTTGACAAGTTTTTGTTTTGCTCTTTTGTTTAAAAGAAATTCGTTCGGTTTGTTGTATAATGGTTTTTTTCTTATTGCCTAGCTCAAATGAGTAGAAGCTTTTATGACTGGTATGAGTGTCACTCTGTGTAGTATTGAATTCAGGATGAATTCTTTCAGATAGACGCTCAAAGTTTTTACCTGGTTTGAATCAATTTTCTTATTCCTGCCAGGTGAGGGTTTACGGAGAGTTGTCATCTGAAGTGGTGACGACTGGTAGTGTCCATCAGGGATGCCCACTATCCCCATTTCTATTCAACTTCATCATAGATATCGTACTAATGGATTTAACCCTAACTCACTTCAGAGACTCAGGCAGAGAGAGATTGACTTGCTACCAGGGAGGGAATAATCTTGTTGACTTAGAATATGCAGATGATATATATAGTCCTGACTCTTAGATGAAGACGCTGACAAAATGCAGACATGGTCTTCTCAACACTTTGAGCTGCAATCCACGAATGTTTGGCATGCGATTCGCTCGTGCTGCTGTCGAATGTAAGATGATGTTACAAGACTGACTGGAGTACACTGACTCCTGGTTTACAAATAGGCAGAAGTGAAGTGGTCGGTGGAGCCCGTTGACCGCTTTGCTTATTTGAGAAGTACCATGAACCCGCCAGTGCCAACGGGTTGATCTCTGACGAAATCTCTCTCACATGTTAGAGAAAGATTACTCCCTGTTTAACAGTTTTATGCAGCTTTTTTATGCTTTTTTTCCATTAATATACGTTTTTCTTAATTGAAATTCCCTCTTTCATGTGATTGGTTCATTGTAGGTCATTCTCTGATTGGTGGTGGTTAGTGGTGCTTAAGGTTTAACTTTGCCGTTTCACCATAGTTAGTCCATCTACATCCGCCTGTTCCACAGATCTTATTTCATAATGGCAAAAATACAAAAAAATTATGACTATACACTACAAGATGTCACTTAGCCTGGTGATGAAACATCCACGATCACACACACTAAGGCTTAGAGAACATCAAGCAAATCTCTTCTTCAAGCTCAGTTACAAATCTTCTCTATCACATTAAAAAGAAAAGAATTTTGGCACATTGTGACAACTTTGCTAGTCGGAGAACTTCCACTAGAGAAAAATTATCCCTCCTACATGATTAGTTACTACTTAATGAAGAAAGTACTGATGGTGTCATCAGAAACTGGTGATAAAATTGTCCATGATCAACTATTATTATTATTGGGCTTCAACTGCACGTCTCCATTTGCTTCTGTCATCTGTTGTATTTATTTTTCACCTGCATCATCCATGTTAGTCTACACTGTTTCAACTCCTCTTCACACAATCTCCTCCTCCTGCATGCCTACCTTGCACCGACGTCCCACTCGCCCACCCACTCCTCGCCTGACGCGCGCGCGATGTCACCAAGCGATGGCCTCCTCAGCGAGTGCCCAATCCATCTCTTCACTTTCTCCTGCATATCTGTTGTTGTTCAGCGATTGCTTCTGGTTCCCATAGCTTCTTGTTGGTGATTGTTTCCTGCCCGGCCATCTGATCTTCAGTATAGATCCAGCGAAGACACTTAGTTGTTGATAAAAGTAAGGTCTGCAACAGGCTGTTGGTGGAAATATTCTTTGTGATCAACCCACCAAGTTTCTGATCCGTTCTATACAGAAGAACTAACTGACTTGACGTGTTTGTGTTGAAAATCCGACCGAATTTTGTTGTTGATATGACGTTGAGTGACGAAGATTTCCAGATTGGTTTCAGGTGGATGTGAATGTGTTTTTTATCACCTTCCCGATTCTCACTCGATTTGACATCCTCGTCCGTTGCGACTTCCTGTACTTGAGACAATGCTCCCTAGATAAGTAAGTGAATGAAGTCACCTCTTTCAAATCCATCCCGTTGATGGTGATTGGCGCTGGATGTTGCTGTTGTTGTTGTTGTTGTTGGTTATTTCCATAACCTCCGTCTTGCCTATGTTCACTTGGAGTCCTGTCTTTGCCGGCTGCTCCTTCGACCAGTTTGTCGGTTTTCGCTTGCCTCTTAGTCTTCGATTTTGTGTGACATCAAACATAAATCATCACCGCATGAAATCCAGGTCTTCTAGGTACTTCACGTCGGTACCAGTCCAGGATACCCCTCCCTGTCTTCTCGTTTCCCACTCACTGTCTGACGCATAATCCAGTCCACCACAATTAGGAATATCATTCATTGATGATAATAAGGAAACACCCTTGTCAGACTCCTGTGTTTACTCCAAACGCCTCTCTGAGTTTTCCGTTGTGGATGACTTGACATGTGCCGTTGTCGTACAGTTGTTGAATAAGGCTGATGAATACTTGGGGTACGCCGTAGTACTCGAATTGTTTCCATACATATATTTACATTATCGTCGAAATATGTGTCATGAGTTCCTTGAATGTGGTCGCAGATACGCCTTGCTGACTGACTGACCGTTGAATGTCAACTAGCACGAAACCTAGGAACGGGTAATGCTTCCTCTGGCCAATCGCCTCCAACTATCTACTATCATGAAATCAATGTGTCCACTGTGATGGTGAGCTAGCCACCTAGTGGCATGGTGGCCACATTGCAAACCTACCTGACTGACTGACTGATAGAATCCAGTCTGCACCAAAGAAGAAAGGACTAGACACGTGTGAGTGACACTAGTTACTGACTAGTGTCCAATCAAAGTAAATGTGTACTTCATCAAATGTTTTTATAAAACAATAATTTAATAAGTGTTTTTTTTATTAGTACAATATTCAATCAACATCAACTTACGTTTACTTAATACTAAACTTTGATATTTCAATAATTTATCATAATATGTATTCAGATTTAAAGCACGTTCCATATGATTCAAATCTTTTTTCATTTTTGGAGTCTGAAAGAGAGTAGACAGAGAAAAATTTCGAATATAATACGCAATTGAGAAGTTATACTGATTGAATATTTTTTGTTTTATAACATAGACACATAACCATGAAAAACTTGATGGATGAGCATTTCAGAGAAAAAAAAACTTGGCCAGGGGAACAGTTTGAATTACTAAATTACTCAGACAATTATATATCAATGGACTCCATCGGGAATAAAGCGCGTAGTTTAGTTGTGTAATTACATTGTGTAGTGAGAGCTGTCTGCTAGTCAAGAATTGGCGGATACAATTGGTAGATAGATAGATGATCTGACTTTCATGAAACAGTCACAAAGAGATGAAAGATTAACTAACTTTCGGTGAGAAACAACCACCAATCAGAAGACTGTGGTGTTTGTCTCCTAACAATAATCAATAATAATAATGGACATGAAAATCTATAAATATGTGTCGTATGAAAAAGAGAAGACGTTCAGCGAACAGGCTCTTTTCGCCGGTGAATTCATTCACATAACCAGCTATACAATTGCATTTATAAATAATTATTTTGTGTGTGTGTGTACATGAGATTTGTCAAGTTTAGATAATTGATCAGGTAATACAAAATTGAGTTAGTAAGTTAGATGACGTAATATAATTGACTAAAATGTTTCAACTTAGGTCAGGGTAGCAACAGAGGTAATTATAGGTAGAGACTAAGTAGAGATAGGTGGGATAGAGAATAATGCCATTTAAATTAGAACTGAAATTGAGCAAATAAGTTGGATGACGTAACATAAATGACTAGAAATTGAGCGTTGGTCAAGTCAGTAACAGTCGTAGTGAGGTGTAGAAATTAAATCGGGTGGGGGTAAAGAACAAGAAAGTTGAAACTGTAAAATATTACAATTGAGAGGACAAAATACTACTAATGAAGAGACAGAAGAGAGAAAAGGATTAGGTAGAATTTACTTGTCGGGTAATAAGATAGATTACCTCCATTGCGAATGTAGTGATTGAACGAACTTCTTCTGTATGCAGAGTTCATGGCTTAGCAAGTGAATCACCATTGCTTCTGCAGTTTGAAGAAGTCTGATTCGTACACCCCTTTAGGAAGACTGCTTCTTACTCTGTAGACGACTTTGAAGTTTGTTTGGGATGTGCAGCTTGGTGTCCGGATTTTATCAGATGTTCTAAGATGGAGCTTCATGGGGGCATCGTTTTTCTCCTTTGTAAGACCATGTTGGTAAGTGTTCGGTGATACGCTTGGAAAGCGAACGCTGAGTACGGCCGACATACCTGGCTCCACACAAGCAGGTGAATTGATAAATACACATAGGTTTTGTGGAGAAGGTTAGTTGTAGTTCAGCTGTGAGGAAGGTTTTCTCTTGAGTGAGCGCGATAGTCGATTTTTTAGTGTTTCCGTAGATATATCTCCATTGAATTGAAGGCTCATGTAGAGTAGTTTTTTTCCGGGACGCTAAGCATGAGAGACTTTTGTGGTCTAGGATTCATAGATTTTGCAATAAATAGTTCTGGGTAAAAATTCTCGACAAGGATTCTCTTGAGATTGTCCAGTTCATCTTCTATGGTGTCCGGGGTACAGATTCTGCGAACTCTGTAGCTGAGTGAACGGATCAGGTTTCGTTTGGTGTATAGGGGTACCCAACTGTGAAAGTTAGTAAGCTGTCCGTTCCATGTCGACTTTCTGTAGATAGATCTTTTCAGTGTTCCATCCTGTTCTTGTCTTGTTAGTTGGACGACAAGAAAGGATATTTCGGAGTTGGACTCTATCTCCAGCGTGAAATGAATCGCGGGGTGGCAGTAGTTAAACGACTTCAGGATGTCGTCTAGATTTTCTTCATTGTTGACGATAATGAAAGTGTCATCGACGTATCTCTTATAGATTTCGAAGGTATCTATCATTTTCTTCAGGTATGTGTTTTCATGTTTGGCCATGAAGAAATCTGCAAGCGATGGGCATAGTGGTGGGCCCATAGCTATACCATCCTTTTGGCGATATATTTCGTTGTTGAAAGAGGATTGAACATTCAGGTTACAACTCAGCAGGAGTTCTTTAAGACGCTCGGCGGGTATACCGATAGTTATTCCTTTGAAATGAATAAGTTCGCATATATAGCATATTGTTTCAGTCAGTGGAACATTTGTGATTTGTGTTGATTTCGTAAATAAAAGATCTGTTGACCGGCCCTTGTCTTCTGTTGTTACAAAATTACAACCGACGATGATACATGATAGGAAAAATAATGTGAAAGGAAGATTAGTGAACATTTTCAGATTGTGGACGATAACAATTGTAACAACAGAAGACAACAGATCGTTCATTGAGAAAATCAAGAGATATTTATAGATTTTCATGTACATTACTATTATTTTTGGTTATTGTCAGCAGAGAAACAACGTCTTCTGATTGATTGTTCTATTGCTGAAGGTTATTCTGCACTGCTTGCGACCGTTGCACTGCAAATCGTATTTGCACACGTTAAGTCTGCTGTGATTGGTTTTTGATTTCCTCAAGGTTAGTTAGGCTTTGTTATTGTTTTTTCTCATGACTCTGATTTGGGACGTAAACATTGACGTCAGTCGCTGCCTACCTCTCTCACCACACAATAACTGAATGTGTGTGTTTCAATGTCAAACGATTTTGAGCCATGTCAGTAACAATATCATGATGAGCCTAGATAGTTCAAACTAACAAACGAAGTCTTCATGGTTTGGTGTCATGTTTTCGTTTGACACCAACCTAGGTTCTTTTCCAGCCAAAGTACTGTCTCAACTAGTATTGCTCATCGAGGAAAGCAGTAGTCATTACAGAATCGATGCAGGTTGACAAAGTCATCAACCGGATTTTTATCTAAGACTCTATGCCTTACTAACCAAAATGTTTCCAACCAGCACGATAGACAGAACAGGGAAAGTAATGGTGAAAAATAGCTAGTTCCTCCATAATCTCCAAATTCAGCCAGAATGTATTGTAGAGGCAAAATAAGATAAGAGAGAACGGTACATGCATTCTCTGATGGACGGTCCATAAGCCATTATTCCCTGTTAATCGGCATACATAGAAACTTTCACTGCATGGAGGATTTCATCATGAGCTGACATTGGCTAGAGAACCACTGGAAAACCTGGGAGTACTGGACAGCTGTTTCGTCACCCTAGTTCGGGATTCTTCACAGTACGCACCCACCACACTGACAGGGTTCGAACCCAGGATCTTCTACTAACAAGGCGAGCTAGCTCGTAGACTATTTATTTTATTTTTATTTTATATTTTTTTTTTATAACAGCTTGATTCCACACCGTATTTTAGGTACAAGTATGGAATTTTCAGCGTGGATATCAGTAGCCCAAATTTCGCAGGCTGACCATAGATATCAGGTGTGCGCCGGTGTGGACTCGAACCTCGGACCATGTGCATGGTTGGCGAGAGTTCTAACCACTGTGCAACTGGGATCCGATCTAATGGCCAGCCAGCCAATGAATTCTAACTTCTGACAATTCACGACATAGCGCGACCATTTCTCAATGTCCTCTTCGATAAGTGAGTTACTGCCTCACCTGCTATACCCTACTGGTCACGGCTTCCCACTAGAACCCATCCAGGTTAACTGCCTATCTGAATAGGGTCAGTCGCTAGTGAGCATCAGATTAATTTTTCAAGTATTGATTTTACAGGGATTCTGTTTTATTGGATGGAGGATTTCATCATGAGCTGATATCAGTTAGAGAACCACTGGAAAACTTGCAGGGAGTACTGGACAGCTCATGATGAAATCCTTTATGCAATCAAACAGAATCCCTACATAACCAATACTTGAAAATAAAAATTTTCCACCACTAATGCACAAATCCATGATGAGACTGAAGCAAAATCATCACTGCAAAATTACAGCAAATACCAGTTTTTACCGTGTGGCAAACTGACTAACCTAATATCCAGGTATGAGAAAAATTACGTATGAATTTGCGACAGTTTATCAATTCAAGTTTTGTTTGAAGCGCACTGTACTACAATCGTTATTTATTATTATTGTTTCCCTTATTCCCTAGAGGAACATATGGCTTCAGACTCACGTTTCCATTGCCTTCATTTCTCGGCCAACGTTTCCATCTACCTCCACAACTCACCACATGCTTCCATCTCCTCTTCACATGACCACCACACTGACGACCAGCTCACCACTTCCCACTCGGGTTCCACTCCAGATACAGAGAGAGCGGGAGAGAGAGAGAGAGCGTGGCGTGTGATATCACTCACTTGGTGGTTTTCTGAAAATCTGATCCAATCTAATCCAACTCCATTTCTTCCTGCATCTTTGTTGCACAATTGGTTCCTGCTGGGTTGGTTCGCTCATTGTCAGAGATCCCTCCCTGTTGCTGATCTTCCCTGGACGGCTGGCCATCTGATCTTCAGCAAGTGAAGTATTGAGTGAAGACAGCTGTTGATGAAAGTCTGTGGTTTGTTTGAAGCGCTCTTCATTAAGCGTCAAGTCTCTGACCCGTCGTATAGCAGCATTGACTTCACATTGGAGTTGAAAATTCCGATGGTAATTTTCACGCTGAGTGCTGTTCATCTCCATACAGACTTGAGGGTGAAAAACGTTTTCCTTGCTATCCCGATCACTGCTTTCATATTCTCATTAGTTCCGTCCTCCTGTAGTTGAAAAGATGCTTCCTAGGTAGGTAGATGAAGTAGGTTGCTTCTTTCACATTTTTCCCGTTTATGCCGGCTGATTGTTGTCTGTTGCAATTGGTGTTGGTGTTGTTGCTTTTGGCCTGGAATCTCCATCACCTACCTCTGTTTTCTGTTTGTTCACCTGAAGGTAGTTCTATGTTCTGTGGATGCTTGTTCTGCCAACTTGTTGCTGCTTTTCACTTGCATATCTTCCAGTTTGTGGGAAATCAGACACATATATCATCATCGGCAAAGTCCAGATCCTCCAAGTTCTTTTTTCTTGTCGGTCCATTTTATGCCTGTATCCTCGTTGACCGGCCCGCTTTGTGTCACATCATCCAATCTACTGCAATCAGGAAAGTCATTGGAGATAGTAGGCAGCCAGCCAGCCTTGTCTTGGCCCTGTTTTCACTTCGAAGGATTCTGTGAGTTTCCCGTCGTGGATTACTTGGAATGCAGCATTATCGTAGAACTGCTGGATGGCTGAAATGTATAATTGTTGGCAACACCCCGTAGTGGCGAAGTAGTTTCCAAATCACCTCTCGATTGACGCTTCGCTATCGAAGGTCTTTTCAAAGTCGATGAAATTGAGCGAGGTAGAGAGCTGACTGCCATTCCATGCTCTGTTCAACAGTAATCCGTAGTGTAGCGATTTGATCGATGCATGATTTGTTCCCCCTAAATCCAGTCAGTTACGGTCGAAGCTTCCCATCCAGGGCTTGTTTGATTCTCTCCAGGATGATGCGGCCTAGTATTTTGCTTTGGATGCACAGGAGCATAATGCCGCTCCAGTTCTTGCTTTGACTTACGTCCCCTTTCTTTGCAGCTTGAACAGGTAGCCCTTCTCCCAATCGGCAAGTACCTTGCTCTTTTCCACACTTTCTTCAGTAGTAGTGTCATCAGGTCTGCTGATGTCTCTGGGTCCATTTTCAATGCTTCTGCTAGGATTCCGGAGAAGTTCAGATCCTCCAAGTTCTTTTTTCGTGTTGGTCCAGTGCCTACAATTCACCAGACGATAATACGAATAATTTTGTGAAAAATTACTAACCTCAAGCAGCCCCAGGGCATTGGTGACTGGATTTATGTGAGCATCGATATTATCACGGAAACCCATAAGATCCGATTCAGAATTGGAACCCATTGTATCTTTTAGAGAAATATTTTAAAAATAGAGGAAAATCATTATTATTGATGGAAGTAATGGTGTGAAAAGATAACAAATACTTTTACAATATTCCTTGGGGGTTGATGAATCAAACACATTGATGATAAGCACAAAACAAGATTCTATAATTATTTTAAGTTCGTTTATTTCTTAGGAATTAAATCAAAATCCCTGTGAAAACTGTCTATATCCTTCCTAATGTTAGAAATCATATAGACAACAATTTTAATAGTTTTATTACCCTTGATGTGCTTAAATGTCTCCGGTCTCTTGGGCCTTCCCAAAGCCTTGGTCTTTATGGTGTACCTGCCCTTACCCTCAAGAACTGTGCTGATATTTTGTATTACCCTTTTACTAACATTTTTAATGCTTCCTTTTCCAGTGATGTTCTACCTTTTGCATGGAAAAACATTAAAATTATCTCCATATCAAAACCATCTTCTGGTACTGATATTAAATTTAGGCCTATTGCAACTACGTCTCCTTTTTTAAAATTGATGTAAAAATTACTTTTACTTCGTCTTGAACCTTCATTGAAACCTCTTAATGATCCTAAACAATTTGCATATAAAAATGGTAGAAGTACCTTGGATGCTGTGGTTGTCTTACATCACAATGTTGTTTCTTGTTTAGGCAAAGGTGCCAAATATGTTCTTGGTGCTTTCTTAGACTACACATCTGCTTTTGACTCTGTACCTAGTGGCCTTTTATTAAATAAGCTTTCGTTGATGCAAACAGGATCCTGGGCTAAGAGTTGGTTGCATTCCTATTTTTATGATAGAATGCATGCAGTATACTGTATATAATGGCAAATCTTCTTCTGCCTCGCTTACAAGAGTCGGTGTTCCTCAAGGTGCCATCCTCTCTCCTTGTCTTTTTTCTTTCTTCCTACACGACCTGCCTCATTTAAACGAAACTAACTTTGTCAAATATGCAGATGATCTGACTGTATCACTGCCTATCACTTCCGAGTTTGACTGCTCCAAACTCGATAGCTTTCTGTTGGACATCAACAAGTGGTCTAAGTCAAATGGTCTTATATTAAATCCTTCCAAATGTCAGGCAGTTAACTTCACTTTCAAGCATCGACGTGACTTACATGAACTAGTTAGTTCCCATGATGCCTGTAGCACAGATAGCACTGAAAATGAAACCAAGTTAAGTGGCATTAAATACCTTGGATTAGTTCTTTCCTCTCTGACCTTTCGTGGTCATCCCACATCTTATCAATCTCTTCAAGAAAATTTTTCGTCATACCTTCTACATTAAAAAGTTAAGACAATCAGGTATCAACCGACCTTTACTTCTGCAGTTTGTAAACTCCTGTATTTTACATATTGTACTCTATTGCTCTGCATTGATCTTTCCTGGGCTTCTCAAAAAAGGCTATATCATATTACGAAGCTTAATAAATGCTGTGAGTAGGGTTTGTGGTATTCCACTGCATGAGCTCGTCACGCCAATATTAGTGTCGAGAGAAATATAAAATCCTGTACAAAATGGGCGAAGGCCGTACTGTCAGAACCCCTGCACCGACCTCTCTTTATTCACAGCTATCCCCTAGCATCTCATCAGGTAGGATGGAAAGTCAATATAAGAAGTTATGTGCTCGCACCACTAAGTACCAAAATTCTACAATACCCTATTTAGCCCATATTTTATGTGATGGAGACACTGTTAGACGTGAAACATATAAAAAGTTACTATGTAATTAGCAAAGTGAATCGACCCTTTCATCGTTCGTTCATCTTTCTGTAATTAATTTTATGGTGTCAGCCTTTCTATCGTTCAATTATAAGTTAGCTATTTTATTTTATGGTTTGTCATTACTATTATTACTACAATTTTATACTTTATGCATATTTTTCTCCTTATCGCATACTGTAACTGCTACATAGCTGCTATAACAACTTTTTTATTACTATTATTATGTAATGTTTATCTTTTTTTGTCGTTTTGCGTAAATTAGATGCAATATTGTACTGAACTGCTGAAAATTCCTTGCTGTATCATTAGTACTGTTTTTGGAATAAAGCAAAATTATTACTATATCAGAAATCTCCACTGGGTAAAATATGAAGAAATTCTGTGAATCCCTTTTTGTTCAAATTTCAGCCCTTTCCGACAGCAGCAATACCAGCAAAGCCTGCAAGCGGACAGTTTCAGGCACCCCGTTTCTGTTCTGATTTAGCGGATCACTTAGGACCGCCTGACCCATGGCCAACTGCTGTTCCCATGGAGCCCTTCTCCACTTCGGATTTCAAGGTTCTTACTTGAATATTCACTACTACCACCAAGATCTGCGCCTGTGCTTGCTTCACCAAGGCTTACGCCTGAGGCTTCCCGCTAGCCACAGCGACTCTCCTACTTGTCGCCTCCACTCCATGCCTGGGCCAATTCAGTTTGCTCTCACCATGCTTAGGCCCAGCTTGCTGCAACGGTACAGTATAGGTCCAACGTTCGAGCCCCATCCATTTTCAGGGCTGGTTAATTCGGTAGGTGAGTCGTTACACACTCCTTAGCGGTTTCCGACTTCTATGGTCACTGTCCTGCTGTCTGGACCTACCAACACCTTTTGTGGTATCTCATGAGCATCACGTTAGGCACCTTAATCGCAGGTTTGGTTCATCCCACAGCGCCAGTTCTGCTTACCAAAAATGGCCCACTTGGCAACCACATTCAATGCAAAACTCTATTTAAGCGAGTTAAGCTTCTCGCCAATTTAAAGTTTGAGAATAGGTTGAAGATGTTTTCTCCCCAATGCCTCTAATCATTCGCTTTACCGGATCAAACTGTTTATATCTCAGAATGACAGCTATCCTGAGGGAAACTTCACAGGGAACCAGCTACTAAATGATTCGATTACTCTTTCGCCCTACATTCACGTTATACGATCGATTTGCACGTCAGGATCGCTATGGTCCTCCACCAGAGTTTCCTCTGGCTTCATCCTTTACAAGCATAGTTTACCATCCTTCGGGTCAGAAGCTTTGCCTACTGGACTTCACTATAATACACCCTAGTGGTGTGGTCATATATGGTTAATATTTTTTAAATTTTTCAGCTTATGTTTGGTTCGTCATAATCTATGGTTTGCTTAAAAATATAGAAAGTCTCTAATATAAAAAAAACAAAACAATCATCCAGAAGTACAGTAAATCAAATGTGATAGAGATAAGCAAATGTTGTCAGTTGGATTTCAAACCCATAGCTAAGCGATTCAATTAAATAATTAATGTGACCCGTTGCACAAGAAGTGGGGTGGCTCTCGTGGCACAAGTGGCCTACCGGATAACGCTTCGGCTGGTGTACGGGTACTGTGTATCTCCCAGAATCCAGTTTACTTCGGAAGTAGGCAGAATCAGACGTCGGTGAACTACCATTTCTAGACTACGTCACTAGTTGAGAGGAGGGAAAACGGACATTTTAGTATATCCATATGCAGGAAGAAAACCCACTCCAATAAATATTTAGACTTCAAATCATCACACCCCATCAGCGCAAAGGTATCAGTTATTTGAAGTCTTCTTAGACGAGCACATTCTTTGACGTTAATGGATGAGAAAGAAAAAGAAGAAGAAATATCAAACGTTACTGAAACTCTCAAGCAAAACAACTACCGAACAAAATTCATCAACAAAATCAACACTGACATTAAGTATGGTCGAAAATGCATTCCTGAAAACATGGACCTCAACAGTCATTATTCCATATAGAGCAAAGACGTCAGACGTTATCAGAAGAGTATTCATTCAGCTCGACATTACAGTTTTCTTCAAAACATCAGACACACTACGAAACAATCGCCAAAGATTCTCCATCTAATTTTGTCTATAAAATAAAATGCTTGCTTTCAATGTGACGCGATATACACTGGACAAACATCTTCACAAAGAAGTCAAAATCAGAAGAAATGAACTCCGTAGAGCATCTCTGCGACCACCGGAAAATCCGGTTGAATAAGAAAAACCTGAAAAATCATCAGTCATAGCTCGTCTACACACTACGCTATGGGATAAGGCTACAAAAATGATTTTGACAATATTGAAATCATCATCCAGAAAAAGCAATTCAGACCTCACAAAGAACGTCTAATATCATCAGAAGCACTCCATATCAAATGGAATCGAAATTGTCTGAAGTGAATAGGAATGATGGACTAAAACAGAATCTGACCTAATTACAACACCTCCCTACCCCATGAAGTGACAAAATCAACACGAATGTGATAAGAAATTTCATTATGTAAGCACACGCTGTTTTTATAATTTTACGCACATTTCAAATCCAACAATCTACATTTGGTTTTGTTATCTTTACCAACTGGCCAACTTGACAACGAAAAATAACCCCATACTGACAAACGATGATCAAGTTAGTAAACTTTGTTTTTTGATGTAATAACAGATGTACTATGTTACCTCTGTTATTTGGTTTAGTAATTCATCTTTATTGTTATTTTGACTTTCAATACGTCCTCCTTTTAACTTGACCTAAGAAGTTAAGTAGTCTAATCTCTCACCCACCTCTTAACTCTTTGTTATATATATATATATATGCTGATTGGATTTTGTAAATTCTTCTGGTTTAATAATACTCCTACTTTGATAAAGCTATTAGCAGAAGCAGCATTAAATAACGAAACGTCGTCAGTAAGAGCATCAATATCGTTTTGTTCTTTTTTATTTTTTCATTGGGAAATACAAAAAGAACAATCTTTATTATAAGGCTTACTTGTAGTTGTTGATTGACCCAATTGAGATGATTCAACCCCAAGACCAACTTCATTATTGCTGAGAATTAGATGATCACCGCCTGTTTTCCGCATATTTTCTATTGGTCCACCATCGTCTGGTTGTAATTGACTTTTTTTAATATTCTGTTTACTGATAACCTCATCATGGCTGGTTGTGTTAGCACCTGTGTCTGATTTCGTCTTTTTCGTCTTCTTCTTCTGCTGTGGTGATAATACTTCGTCTTCATCTATTTCGAAAAAAAATTGAAAGTGTATTCATAGACAAAAAAAGTAGAGCTTAAAAGAGACGTAGACAAACAGACAGACGGGATCATGGTGTAACAACAGAAGACAAGGGCCAGCCAAACAGAACGTTTATTAACGAAATCAACACATATTTATACATTTTCATGCACATTATTATAGATTACTGTAAGCAGACGAACACAGTCTTCTGATTGGTTGTTTCTCTTTGTGACTGTCTCATGAAAGTCAGATCATCTATCTCTCTGCTAATTGTATCCTCCTACGCAAAATGTGATGTGATTGGTTGTTGAGTCAGTCAGTCTTCGTTCTTGTTCTTCTTTTCTCATGGCCAATATATGTGGGACATAAACATTGACGTAAATTACTGTCTACCAATATTGGCTAGCTAGCAGACAGCTCTCATCACAATGGTATTGAAATGAAAAAGTTTAAAATAAAATGGTAGATACCTTCTGCTTCACTGGAATAGATTCTGAAGCATATTTCCACCAGTAACTTCAAGCTTTCTTACCTTGCTAAAATAACAACTAATGTCACACACAGTTAAATCTACGTTCTCTGTCACAAAAAAGAAAAAAACCCAATTCTGTTTGCCAATATCTTAAACGGTTTGGTTTGCAATCAATTTTGATGTGAAATATGTCGGACATCTGATGCAGTCTAGACACCGAGCTAACCCACCCAAAGAAAAATACATAGAGAGACTGAATGTGTAGCAATGGGATGGATGATCACCAATATCCCCTACCGTAGCAGATATCTTTATGGATGGACAGTTGGGAAAATATGGCTCTTCATACATTCACCTAATCCTACTCCAAAAACATGGTGGAGGTTTGTGGATGACACTTTCACACACAGAGGTAAAACCAGAACATATCTCTAGCTTCTTGACACACATCAACTCACTAGTGGGAGGAATAAAATTCACATTTGAATCGGAAAATGAACAAGGAGAATTAGCTATGTTAGATTGTAAAATAAAACGAATAGAAGAAGATAAACTACACACTAGCGTTTATAAAAGATATTTAGAATTTAATTCATCTCATCTGTTAACTGTTAAGGCAGGCTTAGTTAAGTGTCTAACAAATCGAGCAGTAGCACTAAGTAGCACAAGAGAAGACCCAAATGATGAAATAAAACAGACAGAAGAATGGCTGGTTGGTGTTAAACAATTATCCTATAAAATTTATTCGGAATATCACTAAAGGCCAGAAGCAAAATAAAAATAATTGTGAAACTAGTAATGATAACATAAATATGAGAGAATATAAATCATCTAATGTTATACCAATATAAGCAGGGGACATCTAAGACCCTACGTAGGATTCTTAATAAAGCATGAATTAGGGTGGTGCCATTCAAACCTGTAAACTCAATCAGGTAGGACAAGCTCTGTAGGTTACGTTAAAAGACCCTGTCGGTTGTCTCAATTAGACAAAATAATCCAATTTACAAAATACCTTGCAATGACTGTGAGTTAGGTCAACTAGATAGGTGAAACAGACTACTAGATCGGGGGGATTCACATTGCCAGTCAGAACATAAAAATTTAGCTAAGGCAAGAATGGTTGACCCCACTCGAGAAGATAAGTAATTTAGAAAAAAGCTCATGGCTACATTGCACTACATGCATTAACACAGTCATACAATAACATGGTGGGAGATGGTTAAGATTTTAAGAAGTAATCTATATAGGTGTAGAGAGAGAGATGTTGATTACTGGTTCATTCAGTCTATACCCAACACATGCAACAGAAATGACTTAATGCAAATCCAAAAAATATGCAAATATGAACAATACTACTACCAATCATCAAATCAGGCGATGGAAAATAATGATGGAATTATATAAACGAAGTTAGAAAGTTGTGTGGGTAGTACCTTGATTTGATTATGAGCAGTAATGAAAACTGTGCTCGACACGTAGTCATCAGTAAACATTGACTATATAACAACACTGTAAGACTTTATCAAAACAAATTTTACCCATAATGGAATTACACTCATAAAGGAGCATCAACGTTATCTACAGAATACATGAAAAAAAGAGTACAAATCAAGCTTCTTTAAACCGAAGAGACAATGGCGATTCATATGTTAAATCCTGAACTCTGCGTACAAAATAAGTATATTTCAGTCGTTGGATCTACAATGGACCTGATCTATCTTAACACCGGATACGTCTTTTTCTCAAGAACTAGCGAGGAATCATGCTTCTGTCGACGCCAAGTAAACTCCTGAGTCTCATCATCCTGGAGAGAATAAAGGACGCACCTGATACAGACTTCCGACCAGAACAAGCTGGCTGCATTCAGGAAAGGCAAATCATATTCTGACCAAATTGCAACTCTACGCATCACCATCACAGAACAAAGCATAGAATGGCAATCAAACCTATACCTCAACTTTATAGACTTCGAGAAGCCCTTCGACAGACAGCGTTGACCGTGAAGTAGTTTGGAAACTACTCGAGTAATACGGTCTACCCAAGTATTCATCAGCCTTATTCAACAGCTGTATGACAACGGCACATGTCAAGTCATCCACAACGGAAAACTCAGAGAGGCGTTTGGAGTAAACACAGGAGTCTGACAAGGGTGTTTCCTTATTATCATCAATGAATGATATTCCTAATTGTGGTGGACTGGATTATGCGTCAGACAGTGAGTGGGAAACGAGAAGACAGGGAGGGGTATCCTGGACTGGTACCGACGTGAAGTACCTAGAAGACCTGGATTTCATGCGGTGATGATTTATGTTTGATGTCACACAAAATCGAAGACTAAGAGGCAAGCGAAAACCGACAAACTGGTCGAAGAAGCAGCCGGCGAAGACAGGACTCTATGTGAACATAGGCAAGACGGAGGTTATGAAAATAACCAACAAACCACCACCAACCAACAACAGCAACATCCAGCACCAATCACCATCAACGGGAGGGATTTGAAAGAGGTGACTTCATTCACTTACTTATCTAGGGAGCATTGTCTCAAGTACAGGAAGTCGCAACGGACGAGGATGTCAAATCGAGTGAGAATCGGGAAGGTGATAAAAAACACATTCACATCCACCTGAAACCAATCTGGAAATCTTCGTCACTCAACGTCATATCAACAACAAAATTCGGTCGGATTTTCAACACAAACACGTCATGTCAGTTAGTTCTTCTGCATAGAACGGATCAGAAACTTGGCGGGTTGATCACAAAGAATATTTCCACCAACAGTCTGTTGCAGACGTTACCTTTATCAACAACTAACTGTCTTCGCTCTCTATTTACTGAAGGTCAGATGGGCGGGCCGGAACGAATCACCAACAAGAAACTATGCGGAGAAACAAACAAAACAAGAAGCAATCGCTGAACAACAACGAATATGCAGGAGAAAGTGAAGAGATGGATTGGACACTCGCTGAGGAGGCCACCGCTGGTGACATCGCGCGCGCGTCAGGCCATTTCTCGAGCGGAACTCGAAAGGGAAGCACGCGGTGAGTGTGTCGTCAGTGCAAGGGTGACATGGAGGAAGAGATCGTGTGAAGAGGAGTTGAAAGAGTATGGACTTAACAGGCATGCAGGTGAAAAGTACAGCAGAAGGTAGAAGTAGGTGTAGAGGTGCAGTTGAAGCCCTATATTCCACTAGGAACCCAAGAGAACAATAATAATAATCGTATTAGTTTCTCCCCCCCTTAACCCCCTATTAAATCACTACTCTTTATTACCGCTGTTACTAACTTGACTGTATTTCAACATTAGTTAGATTCAACTTAACACCCCACGCCGTCAGTTTTATTACATCACTCAACTTATTTAATTACACTTTAGTTTCTACCCGATAAGCGCTTTCTACATAACATGATTTCAATATAGCAAAAATATTCACTCAGACATCGGCAAAACACAAAATAAATGAACCAGAAAAGAATATCCCCTTTTCGATAAATTCCTCCTCCTCTGGCTCTACAATTATATGGCAATCACAAAATTTATGGCCAAGCGATAAAACCTGTAGATCTAGTTTACTAAGTATTATATTCGAAAAATGAATATTTTTGCTATATTGAAATCTTCTGAGCAACATTTTGCGTAAAAAGTACTCAACGAGTATTTGAAATATAGTGCAAGGCTCAGCGAAGCAAAGACTACTGTTGACTTTATCCACCAGTGTATTGAAACAAACCAGTACCCTGAATCTTATTGGAAATCTCTATGGTGTAACAGAGTCCCGGCCTAATGATAAACCCCTCAAACGCCATGCACATAATGAAATTGATTCATTTCAAACGTCTATTACTGAGTTATCGAAGAATGTAACAGAAGGGTTCTATGCTGTCAGCGAATTACCAGAGAACTTAAAGGAACTATTTTTAGATTATGTGGATGTAATTGTGAGTAATAGCAAAGAAAAGAAACGCATGAAGCTGTTATTACAGAGTTTGAAGAACAAAGCGCCTGAAACAAGATTTCCTCCGAACCCATCCAAATCGTTTTGTGTTTAATTTTTTGGACGTAATACTTAGTGAAGTAAATCTACAGGTTTTATCGCTTCTCCCTAAATTTTGTGATAGCCATATAATTAATTGTAGACCCAGAAGAGGAGGAAATTACCGAAAAGGGGATATTCTTTTCTGGCTCAGTTATTGGGTAATTGTTTGTTTTGCTAAAAATTTACAGTTCTAATGACACAGTCATTGCTAAGATAATTTACTCTCTGACTGTACACCTTCAGTATGATATCGCCGGGAATAGCAACTCTTCTGTTAGACCCAACAGGAATATTCAGATTGACAAATTAATGCACACTCCGTAAATATACAAGCTTTTATACTGACAGACCACAGTAAGTTCTGGAAAGCAAGAAATCTTACAAAATTATGCAAATCAGAAACTTGCATTTACGATTTGATCACGGATTGATATCAATCAGTTAGAGAACCATTGAAAACCAGCCACAGGGAGTACTGGACAGCCAGATGTTTCATCAGCCTAGTCTGGGAATCATCGGCGGCACGCACTCACCACCAAAGTTCGAGCCCAGGACCTTCTCGTTACAACTCGTAAAAACAAAACTAACCCCTTCTAACCAAAATATAGAAAATTAATCTGATGCTCGCCAGTGATTTCCTATAGGATGTAGTTTCCTGGAGTCACTTCTAGTGAGAAGTTGTGACCACCAGTAAGGTTCATCCAGATGTCACGTGTGAGGATGGATGTTCCACTGACGACATTGGTTGGTGCCAGTCGCGCTAAATGCATCACAAATGGGTAGAAGTTAGAATTCATGCACTGGTTGGCTGGCCATTGAAGAATCGGGTCCCAGTGAGTGGCTGAATGGTATACGAGCCAACTACCTGGCCTTGTAACCGGAAGGTCCTGGGTTCGACCTTTGGTGGTGGGTGCGTACTGACGATGATTCCCAAATTAGGCTGATGAAACAGCTGTCCGATACTCTGGTGCTGATTTTCAATGGTTCTCCAACTGATATCAATCCGTGATCAACTCGTAACTTCTATATGCTGATGCTATAGAACTGTCAGGGAATTCAGGACAACAATGTCTCTTCAATAATGGATCATTTAATTCGAATAAATTGAATTCATCAAAACGAACGGAGATTAATTACAGAATTCAGATAGTACTGCCGGCTCACAGTATGCTACTTTTTAAACGTCTCCGTTCCCCTTACCGAGTAAAATTAGACATGCTTTTGTGGTGAGAGCTGTCTGCTAGCTAGCCAATATTGGTAGACAGTAATTTACGTCAATCTTCACAGTCCCCAATATTGGTCATGAGAAACCAAGATCAAGAACGAAGACTGGATGACCCAACAACTAATCACAGAACACTTTGTTTACGTAGGCGGATGCAATTAGCAAATACATAGGTGATCTGACCTTAAAGAAACAACTACAAAGAGAAACAACCAATCAGAAGACTGTGTTTGCCTACTAACAATAATCGATAATAATAATGTACATGAAAATCTATAAATATCTGTTGATTTCGTAAATAAACGATCTGTTTGGCTGGCCCTTGTCTTCTGTCGTTACACTTTAACTTATCACTGATAAAAGGAGATAGCCAGAATGACAGCAGTATGCATGGAAATAAAACAATGTAAAAATTTTAAAATTTCACTTTTTTCACCTTCAAGTAATTTTCTCTTCTCTTCTTCTTCTGCGTAAGTATCCGCCATATCCCAGTTAGTCGCCATAGTTGATTTCTCTTGAATGCCGATACGCTCCGTTTGTAGTTGTTTACCTATTGACGCTGGATTGAAAGTGTTCATTCCACGTTCAGTGTATCGATCATTGCCGATTCTTGATGCAACAAGCTGTTAAGTGGAGTGAAGTAAAGTTCAAATATTAGTTAGGCCAGAAAGTATATTTCATGCATAAAGTATTTTTTAATTTATTTAGATAAAGCAATAAGAAGACGTAACTTGTCCGTCTGAATCGTGTGTGTAATGTTCATATTTGCGCGAAACACACATTTCGAACAGTCTGATCCATCACACACACACACACACACGGACTTGTCATAGGAATATACGGAATATGTGGAAATAATAAACAGAGTTATGAGGTGGGTGAGAAAATAGTCTTGAACACTCATACATAGAAGAGAGGACTCATCGATCTCTGCAAGTAATGGGTGGCTGACTTCACACCATATTCCTAAATAGCTCCACAAACAAATGGAATCTTCAGAACCCAGTGGGTGCGTACTCTTGATGATTCCCAAAACTAGAATGAAACAGCTGGTTATTCAGTACTCCCTGTGGCTGGTTTTCAATGGTTCTCTAACTGATATCACTCCATGATCAACTCGTTAAAACAAAACTAACCCTTACAAACCAAACTATAGAAAATATAGAACTTAATATTTCAGACTAGCCGAATCTATTCCCTCCAGTGAAATGCACCTTTTCTTATTACACCTAATCGAATTTCACAGGCATTTGTGCATTTTTGGTAATTTAGACAAGAAAAGTGCTTACCGTCTGAATACTTTATGCTGCTTCTTTTTTGTTTGAATATGATAACAGAGTATTGGAAAAATCTAATATATTTTGGTGACAAGGAACTATTTCAAGTTAGTAAGGTGACTGAGACCCTGAAGAATGCCTATGTCAAATGCTAAACAAGGCTTTCCCAGTAACAAACTAGCAAATAAGAAGAGGTAATTCGTTTGAATCGTGTAATGTGTTTGCGCAACACACTGAGAATTTATCGGAGGATTTAATCGAAAATGTACTACTTTATAGAAGGTATGTACATGATAAGTCTTGTTCTACCACCTCAATTTTAAATCGAATGAATGAAGTTCAGAACCGCAAGCATATCACTTACATCTGTCTGTAGTAGAGGAAGACCCTTTCACTCTACAACTCGCCCCTAGGAAAGGCGTGCACATCAAGCTACCTACCCTATATGGGCCGGGGATCATAGCAGCTTGATAACTAGACAAAGATTGAACGCCGTTGTGGTATAAAAGACTTTTTATGCAGCTGATACCATAATAATTGAGAATGTGAAAGCAATATATTCATCCATCTAAGGTCTTTGAACATGCAAAAAATGATTTCACATCGTCTCACCCTCACTGTTTAACATCATCAACGTGTCATCTGACCTCATATGCACCAAAAGTTTTGATCTTCTCTTATCTAATTATGTATCTATTACTAATTTTCTTTTGTTACCACCCCAAAAACACAACTGTTAATTAATTTTTTTCAAGAAACTTCTCGCTAACAAGATATTTATGCATATTTCGTAACACTTTAGACACCATGTAAATCGAAGCGCCTTATTTCAATATGACGCTTTGACAATATGCTTGCTAATGAACAAAAAATTCAGGTTGTACGCAGCTGGTGATGAGAACCGATGAAATAAAATGGATCCGGATTATTCTGCACTCCAATGTTTCTTCTTTCTTTGTTGAAATTTATAAAAGGGAATTATTAAAGTGCGCGGCTAGTTGTTTTGTGCTCAGAGAATTCCCCCGTCAACAACTTCTTCAATTCTTCAATAGTCTAACTTCTTCTCTTGTATTTTTGTAAATTTGGCCTGCAGAGAGTTTATTTTCATTTATTCCACCCAATGTAATTAACAAAAGTGTTTAAGTTTATGAAAAGTATTCAATCCACAACACGAGAGAAATTAGTGGATTCAACGGTGTTTGATCCGACATTTATTTACAGAAATACCGCAGTCATGTTCATTTGTCAGTAGAAATACAGCCGTTTTAATTCCATATTAGTTTGTTTATTAGATGGATATATCACACAGTCAGTGAGTGAATCAGCATTAGTATTTACTCAGTGACAAGGTTTCGAACACACACAATTCATTATTACTGTTCATAATCATACACATCACCAATTATAATCACACGACTTTGAAACTTGAGTTTTATAGTTCTCTTTGTCCTCTCCTTTTGTTGTCATTGGGGTAATAGAATTTTCCAGATATTCGAGTGGACAGGTGTTAAATCATTCCTATAACACGTATTCACTCTCAGTTGATTCGATAAACAAAGCTTCTGTTATCAATCTTTCCCACCCTACATCCAGCTGTGACATTACATTTTAAAACTGTCATCTTATACCATCCAGCCTATTGTATGGTAGGTTGTGTGTAATTGAATGTAGTGCTTGCGATAGCTGTTGAACTATTCTCTAGATTTCTTATCTCATTCGGTCGGGTCAACTAATCTAGATTTTGCTGCTAGGTTTTTATGCTCGGCTAATGTGAATGACTGACTGACTGACTGACTGAGTGACTGACTTTAACCAATGTATTTGACTTGAAAATCATTGCAGATGAACTAAATTGTTTTGTTTTAAAGGCTTCACAAGACTGATCCTGTAACCAACAAAGTTTGTTTCTAGTTGAGTTTGTGGGATTTTAATACCACTTTTATTCCCATCTTGTTAAGAATTCTGCGTAAGGTGGTTCCCGAGGTTCCTTCCTTCCTTGTATGGAAGTACTACTGATGATCTAGATTCCTTACTGTTGTTGTTGTTGTTGTCATTATCCTGCGCACATTTGACTTCCATGTCGTCATTAATCAAAGGGAGCTGTGGTTGAAGTATCCGGTCGATGTACTAAGAAACCACCACCTGATTAATTATTCATTAGTAGGCCTGTGAAAGACGAGAGGTTGGACGTGAATCTAGCAAGCCCTCAAAAGCAATACCATGACTCAAATGAACTGCGATCAAGATTTAACCGAACAGTACCAAAATAATTTGGCCTTGAGTGGGAAGTAGACATATGTAAAGATAATATTTCAAAAATCTCAGCAAAATTAAAATAGATAATTTTGAATAGGTGTTCGAAACATTTTTCATCCAGTAAATACTAATACTGTTTCACTGACTGAATGTGTGATATATCCATCTAATAAACAAACTAATATGGGACTACTTACTACCACCATAGTGTCCAAGTTTTACACATATATCAACAGCCATTTTAAGCCAGAAAGTAGGCAGACTATCCTAGCAAAAGCAGTGATATTTGATGCATTCTATTAGAACATGACATCGTTAAGAGGATGTAAAGCGACAAAGCTAAAAAAAATCTCTTGTCTATACATCTATTAAAATTCACACTACTAATGGTTAATGGAGTCGGTGATGTGCAGTAGTAGGTGTCTTCAGGGATTTAGCTATCAAGCTGTTGATGTATATCTGTGGTGAAAGCTGTCTGCTAGTCAAAAATTGGTAGACAGTCATCTACGTCAATCTTCACAGTCCCCAATATTGGTCATGAGAAAAAAAGAATAAAGACTGACTGAATCAACAACCAATCACAGAACACTTTGTTTACGTAGGCGGATGCAATTAGCAAATACATAGGTGATCTGACCTTAAAGAAACAACTACAAAGAGAAACAACCAATCAGAAGACTGTGTTTGTCTCCTAACAATAATCGATAATAATAATGTACATGAAAATCTATAAATATCTGTTGATTTCGTAAATAAACGATCTGTTTGGCTGGCCCTTGTCTTTTGTTGTTACACGTCTACTAACTCAGTGGATTCTGACGTATGTCTGACGCTCATCTTCAGTCTTACTTGTCAAAAACCTTGATCACAGTACCTAAATGGGCTACCTTAATGGGGCTAGAGGATCAGTGATCTTTATCTCTACGCTGGCAAACGCACAAATTATTTCTTTCTCCTCTCATTCTACTGTTCACAAAGTACCCACTACAAATGTAAGCCATAAAAAAAGAAATCTACTCAACTGCTTTATAAATTTCATTGCGTTTTATTTGTTCGGGAGCTTCACTGGAATCTTGTGAAACAAATTTTGGCGGTTGATCAAATATCCAGAATGTTTCAGTTTCTGTTATGATAACGTCAACGAGTTTGTTCAAATCGGCTTCAGTTAATGTCTCTCGTTGTGGTTGAACAAGTGTCTTCACCTCTTAAATGGATAAATCAATAAATAAATAGTTAAGCAAATGTAATTTGTTTTTTAAAGCAATTGTAAATTTAATTTTTTTTTAATTTTTGATTTACAGCTTTATTCCACACTGTATTTTTGGTACAAGTATGGAATTTTCAGCATGGATATCGGTAGCCCAAATTTTGCAGGCCGACCATAGATATCAGGTGTGCGCCGGCGTGGGCTCGAACCCCGGACCATGTGCATGGTCGGCGAGAGTCCTAACCACTGTGCCACCGGCGCACAAAGATCTTAGCTCAGAGAGCCGAGAAGCCGAGAAGAATGTATGCTGAACGAAGAGTACTCTTTTCGATAACCCCTTCATCATCATCAGGCTCTACAGTTATATATCCATCCATTATAGTCAATGAATGAATGAATTAGTGCTATGAACAACAACATTCATGTTACTGTTTAAATAATATCGAATCAATAATAATAATACCAATGGATTACAGTTCAATAGCATCAACAGAACAATACACACTGAATGTCAGTTGAATTAAGAAAGATAATATTACAAATTCATGAATTTATAGTCTCTACCAACTGAAGGCCGGTAAGGGCAGTAGTAGTGGCTGGCTAGCTGGCTGGACTTGCTTTTTCTCTACACACAGAGCACTCACTGGTTGTTTGAGGCGAATTGCAATAGCCTCTGTTGTTTGGAGCATTCGATGCTTCGATGATGATTTTGTCAATTTATTAGGCACCCGGCAGATGATGATAGTGAAGGATTTTTCCACGCTGGCTGGCTTTGTGGCCGGATGCTCCAATATCGAACTGTCACTGGTTTTCACTACACCTTTACTTAGCTATAGTGAGAGATGTTCTCGAGCGAGCAGGAAAAATCAAGTTCCCAGATCAACGGTCGATGTAACTCGCTCCACCGCAAGCGCAGTTGAATTGGTAGATACAATTTAAAGTGGCTAATCTAGACTAGGTACTTCATCTTTTAATCGAGGAAACACCATCCGTCGTGTAGACAATAAGACGTGTAGATCTTCAGCATTAAAAGTTCTGATTTTCTTAATTTCCTCATAATTATATCACTTGGTATATCGATCGCCCTTGAATTGCAGTCGTACATAAAGAGTCTTATTGTTTACGGATGGATAGTGAGTAGTCCTTTTCTGCCACTTTCTTCGTCATGTGTTTGTTGGTAAATTTGTCGGGATAGTTATTTTCGATCAATCAAAGTATCATATACAATGCTTACTTAATTCATCTTCAATTACTTCTTTTGAGCATATAGCTCTAGCTAACTCTGTGGCCAAGTGAGGGGTTTTACTAAATTTCTTTTGTACTTGGTAGAAACGAAGCTGTTAAAATGTGTATATTGTCCTGTCCAAGTGCTTTTATTATGCAAATTTCTTTTATGCTACCATCTGGTTTTCTCGTAAGGAGGACATCCAGGAAGGCAATCGTGTCTTGGGATTCCTCTTCGCATGTGAATTTCATAGCCGAATGTACTTCATTGAACTCAGTAATTATTTTACTCCTATCGGAGTCATTATATCACAAAGTATGAAGGTGTCATCCATATAGTGGTAATAAAATGAGAACTATCTGATAAGATGGTTGTTCAAAGGTCCATTTTCTAGCTTACTTAGAAAGAAGTCAGCCAGAATGGGACCCAAATAGGGAGCCCATCGCCACCCCTTTCAATATTTGTTTTTGTCTTACTAATGTAAGACATCGATAAACATTGTATGAATTTGCTAAAATCCGCATTGTACTGTTAATAGACACATAATGATTTTTGCGTACGCGAGATTATATGCTTTCTCTGATTCCATATTAGTTTGTTTATTAGATATATCACACAGTCAAACAGTATTACTGGATAAATAAATAATACTGTTTCACTGTGTGATACATTTAATAAACAAACTAATATGGAATTACTTACTACCACAGTGCCCAAGTTTTACACATATACTTTCTCTGGTTGTATAAAAATATTTAGAGCGAACGATTGTCGTTTTCAATAAATTCTTCTTCAGGCTCTACAATTATAAATCCAGTAATTTAACTGAAGCATACAATAGCCAGGCAGTAAAGGCAAATTAGAATAATATCAGAAAGTGTATTGTATGGAACAAGTATAAGTGAAATGGGATAGAACAATCGTCAGTTAGTTTTTCTAATAGGCATAGTCAATGAGAACAAGGAACAAAATGAGATGAAGTAATTTAATTTAATGATGTGCGTATATATATATATATATATTATTATAGTCAACAGAAAAGTACAGGTTTCGAGATTGAGTGCAATCAGGGTGTGTGAGAAAATATGAAAACCAATACTTGAAAATTAATCTGAAGCTCACCAACGACTGGCCCTATTCAGGTAGGCAGTTAACCTGAGGTCCTCGTGTGAAGCCGTGACCAGTAGGGTACAGCAGGTTGAAGATGAGGCAGTAACTCATTGAAGAAGACATTGCGAAGTGGTCGCGCTATGTCGTGAATTGGCAGAAGTTAGAATTCAAGAACCACTGGATCGGGTCCAGTGGCTCGATGGTCTACGAGATCGCCTTGAAAACAGAAGGTCCTGCGTTAGAACCCTGGTGGTGGGTGCGTACTACTGAAGAGTCGCAAACTAGGAAGAAACAGTTGTCCAGTACTCCCAGGTTTTCCAGCGGTTCTCTAGCCAATGTCAGCTCATGATGAAATCCTCCATGTAATCAAAACAAAATCCCTACAAAATCAATACTTGAAAATATGAAAATAAACCAACGAATGCGGTGGTCTAGACATACGTTCAAGGTTGAAAATAACGACAATAAGAATGATTGTAAAATTATAAAGATGATATGGTGTAAAATTACAAGCACTATTTGTGAATGATTGTCAAATAATAATAATAATAATAATGAATATAATGAAGTGGAATGAACAGGATTTTGTAAATATGATAGCAAGTTAGAAAAGCACTACTTAAACCTAAGGTAATAAAATCATAAGAAAGGTCATAAAATCATGAAAAGTCGAAAATGAACGTTTGTCAATGAAGCAGAGGAATAGAAGAAAGAAAAAAAAAGAGAAAAGAAAATTGTGAAAAGAATTTATAGTGTTAATGTTTATGGAGGATTTGTTGGCTTGTTAATATGCCAACGTAAACATCGCAGCTGGACATACGCAAAGAGATGGTCTTCTGGTACTAATTGCAACCGCTTCAGCTACTGACAGAAGACGTAGTTGACCTGCTCTAGATAAATTACTAGGAACGCGGTAAATAACTGAGAACGCTTGGTCAAGTTTTATCAGGTGCCCAGTATTTACCAAGAGGGACTGCTAAGACTGAACTATTTACGTAATTGTTCACTCTAAATATTTTATCCTAAATAAATTATGGAAATATTCAATTTTAAAAAAATATCTAGATGCGGAAAATGCCATATTTAAGGGAGTTAAACAAATATGAGTCCACATCTCTGAGTAATTTACTGATTTTTACGCGTTCATCATGGATTGATATCAGTTAGAGAACCATTGAAAAGCCGCCACAAGGAGTACTTGACAGCTGTTTCATCCTACTTTGGAAATCGTCGACAGTACACACCCACTGGGATTCAAACCAAGGACGTTCCGGCTACAAGACTGGCGAGCTAGCTCGTAGACCATTACGCCACTCACTGGGACCCGATTCAATGGCCAGCCAGCGCATGAATTCTAACTTCTGCCAATTCACGACATAGCACGACCATTTCAAAATGTCTCCTTCAATGAGTGAATTACTGCCTCATCTTCATCCTGCTTTACCCTACTGGTCACAGCTTCTCACTAGAATCCAAGGTCACTGCCTGCCTAAATGAGGCCAGTCGCTGGTGAGCATCAGATTAATTTTCAAGTATTGGTTTTGTAGGGATTTTGTTTGATTGCATGGAGGATTTCACCATGAGCTGACGTCAGTTAAAGAACCACTAGAAAAGCGAGTGGGAGTACTGGACAGCTGTTTTATCCTAGCTTGGGACTCTTCATCAATACGCACCCACCATATGGGGTTTGAACCCAGAACCTTCTGGTTACAAGGCGAGCTCGTACACCATTCAGCCACTGGGACTCGATTCAATGCCAATGATTCCAAAACTAGCATGAAACAACTGTCCAGTACTCCCTGGCTGGTTTTCTATGGTTCTCTGACCGATATATCAACCCGTGATCAACTCGTAAAACAAACATAACTAACCCTTACAAACCGAACTATAGAAAATTAATCTGACGTTCGCTAGTGACCATTTGCTACAAGTTGCAGTTTCCTGGTGTCAGTTCTAGTGAGAAGTCGTGGCCATTGAAGTCCATCTAGATGTCACGTGTGAGGATGGATGTCCCACCAATGACCACCGATTGATTGGTGCCAGTCGCGGTAAATGCATCACGAATTGGTAGAAGTTAGAATTCACGCACTGACTGGCCATTGAGGAATTGGATTCAAGTGAGTGGTGGCTGAATGGTATACGAGGCAGCTAGCTTGCCTTGTAACCCGAAGGTCCTGGGTTCAAACTCCACTGTGGTGGGTGCGTCCTGACGATGATTTCCAAAGTAGGATGAAACAGCTGGCTATCCAGTACTCCCTGTGGCTGGTTTTCAATGGCCCTCTAACTAATATCTATCCGTGATCAACTCGTAAACACATAACTAACCCTTACAAGCCAAACTATGGAAAATTCTGAATTTTTCCTTGAAAAAAACAAAATGGTAAATTACCAGTGTATATTCGATAGCGATCCGCCTCTTCACTAGTCTCTGAGTGTGATTCACCGGTTGGACTTGATCCACTGACAAATGATCGTGTAAAGGTAAATGGATTGGTAATGTGAAGGCTACTCCCACTATGAATTGATGCCTGCGAAACTTCTGTACTCTTGAATAATAAGAAAAGCAACAAGTTAGGAGATTATTATTATTGTTATATAACACAAAATAATTGAGCCAGAAAAGAACATCCTTCTCGATAAATTCCTCCTCCTCTTCTTGCTCTACAATTATATCTATATATGCATATGTTTATATATACATAGAACATTCTAGATTAGTAGTAGTCAATAACAATATTAGTGTGCTTTTTAAATTATAACATTGATTTGTAAAGTAAGATCACAATGGAATCACCACCACAGTTCATTAAAGATGCTTAAATTAGAATAATAATAATAATAAAGATATAGTAAGTAGGAAATAGAATATCAACCAAAACTAGGAAAGTTCCACAACAAATTCAATTCAGGATCATTCAAACCTAGATGGATGGCCAAGCGGGTAGTGATAATGTCTGAACCAACCACCTTCTTTTGGATGCACAAATTAGGCTTGTTACTCTGGATCCCAACGGCCAGCCAGCCAGCCTCAGCAATATTTAGTAGTCGAACTCTTGAGGCGAAATTGAGATTTGTTGGTATTCGGTAAATGACCCTGAAGCCGCCGACTTTTTAACATCAATCAGTCTGTGTTCTGTATCCACAAGATGAGTGAGATAGGTAGAATAGCGCTGTGAATAGATTTCGTCTGTCCTTTCCTTAACCAACAAACCACTGTGCATGGTGAGGTGATGTTCAGAAATTTGACGAGAAACACGCCTAATTGTGTAGGGCATATGCAAGTAACTGGCTGACTCACTCCACAGGGGCAGTTAAATTGGTAGATACACACACATGGAAGAGGCGAAATTAGACAGTCTGTCTTTTACTCCCGAACGAACGCGAGAGAGGAGTGGTTGTGAAGACACAGCGTAATTCGTCAGTTGTTTTTGTTATCATTACCAATTGACCAACTTGACAACGAAAAATGACACCATATTGACGAACGATGATCAAGTTAGTAAACTTTGTTTTGATACCAACCAGGGCAGATGTACTATTACCTCTGTTATTTGGTTTAGTGATCTTCATTGTTATTTTGACCTTCAACACATCATCCTTTTGACTTTACCTAAGTAGTCTATTTTCTCACCCACCTCTTAACTTTTTGTTATATATAAGCTGAGATTTTGTAAATTCTTTTGGTTTAATAATACTCCTGCTTTGATAAAGCTATTCACAGCAGCATTAAGTAGTGAAATCTCGTGAGTAAAAGCAACTAACTAACTTCTTTTGGATGCATAAATTAGGCATTAAGAGTTCGACTACTAAATATTGGTGAGGCTGGCTGGCCGTTGGGATCCAGAGTAACAAGCTTAATTTATGCATCCAAAAGAAGTTGGTTGGTTCAGACATTATCACTACCCGCTTGGCCATCCATCTAGGTTTGAATGATCCTGAATTGAATTTGTTGTAGAACTTTCCTAGTTTTGGTTGATATTCTATTTCCTACTTACTATATCTTTATTATTATTATTATTATTATTCTAATTTAAGCATCTTTAATGAACTACGGTGGTGATTCCATTGTGATCTTACTTTACAAATCGATATTGTAATTTAAAAAGCACACGAAGATTGTTATTGACTACCACTAATCTAGAATGTTCTATGTATATATAAACATATGCATATATAGATATAATTGTAGGGCAAGAAGAGGAGGAGGAGGAATTTATCGAGAAGGATATTCTTTTCTGGCTCAATTATTTTAATGTTTTATAGATGTCTGAATGAATATTTTTTGCCACATTATGATTATTATTATTATTGAAAAGGAAATACTTACAATATCTTTTTCTTCACGGATTCGTTTTTCCTCATTCAACAATGGTAGTGGAGTTAAGTCGGTTCCATATTCGTCAACCAGTCGGATTGTTGGCCTTGATGGACGTTTCTCTGGATCTGATCGTTTTGAAAAGGAGCTTGATACTCTTCGACCCAGGACTAGTGCACTTTTGCGTATTGGCTGACTCTTTTTATGTACACCTGACATTAGGAAAGCTACAAAAATGGAAGACACTGTGGTAGAGTATAATTTCATTATAGATAAGCTTTTTTTTTGATAAACTGCCACACTATAGATCAAACTAGTAGACCGGGGGTAATCAGATTGTCGTAACATTAGAATTTAGCTAAGGTAAGATTGGTTGACCCAACCCGAGAAGATAAGTAATTGTACTGCATGCATTAACACACAACCACACAATAGCATGGTGAGAGAGGGTCAAGATTCTAAGAAGTAATCTAGTTGGGTGGAGATAGAGATATGTTGATTCCTGAATCCCGGCTGGTACATTGAGTCTACACTCTACACAAAACATGCAACAGAAATGAATCAATGCAAATACCAGAAATATGCATGGAAGATATTATTACCACCAGTCAGTCAGTCAATCAAATCGGAGGAGGATAATAAATAATCTGAAATTGTATTCTATTTCAATTCAATTCAAGCACATCACAACATTCTAGCAAGTTACTTATTATGAGTAACTTGATATGATTATGAGTGGCAATAGTTTGTGATCGAAGTGTGTGGTCATCAGTAAATATCAGTGTATAACACTACACTGTGTGACAGTTTATCATAATAAAATCTTATCTAAAATGGAATAACTACTGATTCTAAGAATTTAAACTGTATGAGTATTTTTCTATGAGGGTGGCAATGTTTTTGAATAACTAAAGCGTATGAAGTCAATTTGTAAAATATAGTCAGCCAGAATCTTGTCTAGGATGCGCAATGTCACAAAATAACCTAAAGTCTGTCTGTTTGTCCGTTTTCAACAGACATAGAACTTTGCACCAGTGTGCAGCAGTTCAAATCATCACACTACTCCATGTAGCACACAAAGCAAGAGAAAACAGAGGTGTGAGACAAATGAATAGTAATGAAGAAGAAGAATATAGTCTCGTTGGAAATCAATAGTCACAAAGAAAGGATGCATCTGCGCCAGCCAGCCATTCAGAACGATTTTGAGCTATATCGCCAATTGTTTCCAGCCCTCATTGGTTTTTAGCGTCATCCCGAGGACCTCAACCAGTCAGGAAGCCAGTCTACACCTTCCTACGTGGCTGGCTAGCTCTTTTCCAGCCTGACGCTATATCAGCTAATATTGCCCGTCATCCGAGGAAGGCGATGACTAGGCATGCATGCGTAACACATGTCCTGACCATTTCCGTCGATGTAATTTCACAGCCTCGTCGATTGATTTCCCCTCCTCCATACCTAGCACTCGACCGGTGCCTAACCTCAATATTGGTCACCTTATTATACCACTTCACGCGGGAGATAGAACGCATGCACCTATGATCTAAGACAGCTAATCTTTTCATATCTTTCAATTTCAATGGCCAAGTCTTACAGCGGACTGCTGAGCAGTACACGCGCCCTTTGGTCGATAGCCAGCCGGATATCACGTATACGCCTGAGATGGTGTAGACCGGCATATGCGAAACTAGCCCTCTGTATCCGTGCTCACTCAGCTGAGATTTCGTCAGAGATCAACCCATTGGCACTGGCTGATCGTACTTCCGAAATAAGTGAAGAGGTCAACGTGCTCCACCAACCACTTCAATCCCCATTTGTAAACTAGGAGTCAGTGTAGTCCAGTCAGTCCTGTAAGATCATCTTACATTTGGCGGGAGCAAATAGCTCAAAGGCAGCCAAACACAGCATCATGAATCTGCTTAATTCAAATGATTATGACAGCTAGGTTTTTTGTAGCCCTCTTCAGTATCGCTAAAGATCATGACAAAAAAAGGAATGCAGCGTGTCACTTAACTGTTTTGCATTAGGAAAGGGTGATTTTACTCCAAAAAAATTTAGCTGTTAAAAAGGAAACCGGCCATTGGATGGTTAAATATAACCAAACCAACTCTCTCTCTCTTTTGCAATTGATAGTGTTCTCTGAGCTCCGCAATTAAACCAAGGAGCTCAGAGAACACTATCAATTGCAAATCATCCACCTGAGTTACAAATCTTTTCTATTATCTCTCTCTCTTTCAGAGAAAACAACATATGACTAAGGGTAAAAATCAATTGTTGTAATACCTTCAGGGAAAATCTGATCAAATGTTACTGGGATTAACTCAGTGCTGTAAAGACAGATTCCAAAATGTTTCAAAAATATTTCACTTCAGCTGTCAAAACTTATTAATGAGAACTTCTTTTACATACAGGTCGACACACCTCATCAGGTAGGACGAAAAGTCAATATGAAAAGTTATATGCTCGCACCACTAAGTACCAAAATTCTACAATACCCTATTTAGCCCATATTTTATGTGATGGAGACACTGTTAAACGTGAAACATGTAAGTTACTATGTAATTAGCAAAGTGAATCGACCCTTTCATCGTTCGTTCATCTTTCTGTAATTAATTTTGTGATGTCAACCTTTCTATCGTTTAATTATAAGTTAGCTATTTTATTTTATGGTTTGTCATTACTATTATTACTATAATTTTATACTTTATGCATATTTTTCTCCTCACTGGATACTGTAATTGCTGCATATCTGCTATAACGACGTTTATTATTATTATTATTATTATTATTATTATGTAATGTTTATTTTTGTTGTTGTCGTTTTGCGTAAATTAGATGCAATATTGTGCTGAATGCTGAAAATTCTTTGCTATATCATTAGTGGTGTTTTTGGAATAAAGCGAAATTATTATTATTACTTGAGTGCTAAAACTCGGAACAAAGTTTTTAGGCTGCCAGTTAAAAATTATGGTAAAAATGTATTATTCACTGTGTTGATACATATGGCGTTTGAGGTTCAAGAAAACCCGGTAAAGCGTAGTGAATTAAATGGCTGGACTTAGAAAGGAAACATCGATAAGATACACGTGGGACTTTTTATATTTTAGCTCACTCTTCCGGTGAAAGCACTAGTTATACTACAGTTTAATTGCCTGTCAGTAAGTGATATTCAGAGCTATTGGTTTAGAAAGCATAAATAACTACAAATTAGTTTGCATTTGTTCCAAATATTTGTATATTGGGCTTTCATTAAGCAGTCTTAATAACTTCAAGTTCGTCCTATAAACGCGTCTAAGGCAAAGTCAGGTATTTTTCTGAGATAGTTTAGAGGACAACGGGTCGGGGGGCAGTTGTAAAGTATTTGAGAATTCGTCACAAATAGATAGTGAAATAATCAAATAGCTATGGTTCTTTATAGGTTACCTATGGCAGAATTTGGACGAATTATTATATTTGTGTATAAGCTACTTTTGTGCGTCAATGGTATGGCGGCTAGGATGCTCTCCAACCATACAGATGGTTCGGGGTTCTATCCTCGGCCGACGCACTCCTTTACCTCGCTAAGCCAGCAATCAAAAAAATCTGGTGAGACGGAAGGGTTAGGCATGAGGCTAACAAACGCATCCTGTAAAAATAAACACTTCTGAAGAAACTTCAAGCTTCTGCCTTGGAGCCCCATGTTCCAGTGGGAACGTGAATGAACAAAAATGTACGCTAGCTCAGTAATGTTATATATTTATTGGTCATCAATACTTGTTGATGCAAAAGATTGACACAAACATAAAAACAAATTTATAGCTTGAAGAAGCCATAAGAAACTTCCATTTCCTCCTACTTATTATTTTTTACTTTGTTCTTGGAGACAGATATCATCATTTTATTCGAAAATTACATAAAACTAATACATATGTTCCATCTACAGTTATACGTGAGAAAATCTACCTCGTAGGATCCAACCCTTATAAATTAATGATGTAGATATGAGAGATAATTACAGTGTTACTTCCTGGCTCTGGGGAAAATGATTATGTCGCATTTTCCCAGACTGCTTACACTAGTCAGTGCAAATAATACACTCCTCATGCCTCTCATGTGTCTCTTAGTTTTTATTTTGGTACCATCGATTGGTTCTTAAGTAATTAAAATGAACTAAACCACATGTGTTTTAAAAACAAATTCATGAAAAAGCCACATGCAACGTTGTCCTGTGCAGAAAATTGCGCTTATTTCGCTCTTTGATTCCGGATAAAACATATACCATAAAATACAACAAACACCTATACATGACAAAAACTTTTGATTCATATTGAAAACGGTGGAAAAAATTTGAGAGAAAGGTGGTAAACTATATAAGCTACACATTTGTGAAAAAATCAAAGTCGAACTATGAACCGAAAGCTCATCACCAAGGTATTGACCTACAACTTTAAGCGTTTAAACAAAGCCGAGTGAGTTAGGCGTTTCAAACTGTTTTAATTTATTTAATATTCGAGATTTGTCCCGTGGTTTTACTGTATTTTATTAGAGAGGGGGAAATAGTGATGACTCAGTAGCTCTACGGCAAGATGTACATTACTGACACCGTCCTTAGCCATAATTTATGTTTGAAATGTTTCCGTTTACCAACGTGTTCATCGTTTACAATAATTACAGGGACTAAATTATATCGCTGATTGGAATTACAAGTGGTTTTGAAGATGTGAATCACTTAAATAGTGCAAAAAAGGCTTAGTTAAAGTGGGAGTTCGAAAAACGTCTTATAAACCCCAGGTTAACTCAGTAGGCCTTTTACTAAAAACGGAGGATATCGATTGTAAACTAGTGACAAAAGATACAAAAAAACTAAATCTAAGGGAATTAGGGAGTATGTCTTTTTTGCTCTTCAAAAATTTCTAACATATTCGAACTGACTGAGTAATGAATTGATTTTCGTAGACATCCTACGATGAATTAACAACCTACTTCCTGTTTCTTTGAACAACGTTTAATTGTTTTCTTGCAACAAATCTTTACAATCGGCCATTGAGGATGTAGATGGATAGATGGACATCAATCTCCAGTAAAAATTACTTAAGTGACTCCCACCTAACGAATTAAATGGACTGGCGAATTCACCAAGACAGTTGACTTTTTAACTATGGTGTCTGTTAATTAACTAGTTCTCAGATACTATCGTGCAACAAAAAATTATTGTCAGTTCCTCATGGATACTATGAAGGATCGCTTTTGGCATCAAGAATAAACTTGGATCATATTCAGCTGGGGGTCTGCCTAGATGAGACGGGAAAATGAGAAATATTGAAAGGGATAATTACACCATTTACTTGAGAAAAAATAAAACATTCTGCAAATGAGTAAGCGCCAAGAGCTTCTAATTTCTTCACAAAAGAAGTGTAACCCAGCCGCAGGAAAGCATTCATTTACAAAACCTAAGACACAGCAATTACGCGAAGCCCTCATCCTGAAATCTCAGACCCCCACAAACGAAAGTTTGTTAGGTGATGCTGGTATTCAGGTGAACATGGATTGCCATCACCAATATCCACCACATATAAAAATCCATCATAGCTTTATAGATTGTCCAAACATTTCACCTCCATCGTGTATTCCCAGTCCCAATTCAGAGCCCATTAACAATCAAGAGTTACGTTACAATTGTCAAACTTTCCACACTGTATCAGAAAATGACCACATATTACCTGAATTACAAGGGACTTCTGAAATGGGACCTCTAGTAGACATAGCCGCGAACCGATGTATACCTGTAGAATCAGGCTCAAACGTTGCACTTAATGAGTGTCCTGAACCATATTCTTTCTCAAAGTTGATGAATAATTCAGTTCAGCAAGTCAACCCTCTTAATGATATGGAATCTAATTTATTCGATGAAGTTGGATATGTCGGTGAAGATGAAATGGCACAACATTCAGATGAAGAAAACTAACCAAGTGATTCACCATCTTCCATCGCTCCTTCACAAGAATTATCTACGGAAATCTCAGCAATAGAAGAGATCGTGCATTTGTCTTTTTTTGAATTCAGGAATTTGTATTTGGCGGGATTATTATTTAATTCATATAAGAAAAATATTAACAAGCAACAGTAAGTATTTAAACAATACAGAGATAGAAATTGTCAATCACCACACATTCACTTGACTCTAAAGAAGTAACAGTTTTAAAGCTTCTGCGGATAAGTGTGTCTCTATTGCCTCATCCCAGCCACTAAGGACTTTCAAAATGAAAATTGTTTTACAAGATATTCACGTGATAAGTATCATCCATGGCTTTTGTTTTTTGTCTAGAACTTATTATATATCGATGATATTTCTCATTCCTTATTATCAGCACCTGGTTTAAGAATATTAGATATAACTACCATGAACTTAAATAATCTGAAATGTTCACGAATGTATTTGTTGCCCAGAATCCTGTTAGATGATATGATTATGACCGATATGTTGAGTACGAAATATCACCCAGGGAACAATACAGTGTCTCTCTATGGCATATCCAGTGACAGAGAAGTAACTAGAAGACATTGGCCTTTTTACTCCTGTGCCTTATTCACTTCTAGCCAAGTTCCTTTTTTACCTCGGGAGATAAAAAGAATGCTGTTTATTTTTAATTAATTTTTTCAATTTTTGATTAGAGCTTGATTCCACACTGTATTTTTGGTACAAGTATGGAATTTTCAGCATGGATATCGGTAGCCCAAATTTTGCAGGCCGACTATAGATATCAGGTGTGCGTTGACAGGGGATCGAACCTCGGACCATGTGCACAGTCGGCGAGAGTCCTAACCACTGTGCCACCGACTCAGTCACTGGAGCCAGAATCGTGTGGATAAGCAGTGCACCACTCACTTCGTAAGACACGAAGGAAATAGATACACTCAATAGTAGGTTTGTCAGACAGGATGATTGTCAGTCACGTCTCGTAAACCGTTAATGCCCAGCTCTTGCTACGCTCGGGCTCACGCTGTTCCTTGAAGTTTTTCAGAAACGCTTAGTAATAACGGACGCAAAAACCAAAACACTGATTGGCCGCTTGGGAATTCTTTATTGTAACACCAACATATAAAAATATTTCTACTAAGGTCTGTGAACAAATATTACAATAATAAATCACAAGATTACTTCTGATGGTTTACTGCTGACTTCTTTCTGAACAGCGACCGATGAGACGATGACTGTCGTATTGATGCCTCCGCGAAAATTGGGGAAGTTGATTTTGAGCAAACAACCACGAATTGATCGTTCAATCTTCAACTACATTGACACGCCCGGCAAAAAAGGGATCCAACCCTTTTTTCCTTCACGACCAATGCACGTTGACTTGGATGCCATTGCGAGAACCTGGGTCACAGGGACAAAGCTGAAATGGAAAACAAACAGAAAAGCCAACACACCACAAGCATACCCACAGCACAATCTCACACATCAATGACGACCTGCGCCTTCGAATTAAAGGCATCCTCTTGACATCTTTCAGCACAATCGCCACTTGCTAGAATGACTCTTGCGAAACGCAACGGGACCATAGAAGCACCTCATGATACTCTTCACATATCCTCTTATCTATTCACTACCAATTACCACTGCAATCGCTTGTCACTCATTCTGCCTCAGTTCTAGTAACGGTGACGTATGCAAGCCTTTTTCTTAATGTAACCATTTCTTTCTCAGGCGCGAGGCTAGCAACCCCACCCTGTAAACAAAAATTGCTACAGAAACTTCAGCACAATGAACCTCTTTGCACCAAAAGAAAAAGTCTATGTGGGGACAAGGAACGTCCGCACTATGTACGAGACCGGCAAAGCTGCCCAGATCGCAAACGAGATGAAAAGATACGGAATCCAAGTGCTAGGAATATGTGAAAGAAGATGGATAGGGACTGGACTCACCAAATTATCAACGGGTGAGTTAGTGATCTACTCCGGTCACCCAGAACATAACCACACGCACACCGAGGGCGTGGCTATCATGATTTCACCAACGGCAACAAATGCCCTGATACGGTTGGAGGCAATCTCGCTCAGGATAAAAACCGCCAGATTCAATTCCAAAGGAAGGAAAGTGTCAATTATACAATGTTATGCACCCAAAAACAACGAAGACCTCCAAAAAAGAAGAATTCTACAAACAACTAAAGGCAACAATGGACAATGCTCCAGCTGGTGACATTAAAATACTAATGGAAGACGTGAACGCCAAACTGGGATCAGACAACACAGGAAGGGAACTCATCATGGGTAGAGAAGCCCTAGGAGAAATGAATGAAAATGGAGAACTCTTCACCGACTTCTGCGCCTTCAACGAACTAGTGATTGGTGGCAGCGTATACAAACACAAAGATATCCACAAGGCTACATCGGTGTCACCAGATGGGCAAACCAAAAACCAAATTGACTTAATCTCAATCTCAAGGAGGTGGAGGCGCAGCCTACTGGACACAAAAGTAAGAAGAGGAGCAGACGTTGACTCAGACCACTATCTCGTACAAGGGACAATCCAAATCAAATTAAAAGCTTTCAGGGAATCAGGAGCTGCAGATAGACCACAAGTCAGGTTCAACACTCAAAAACTGAAGGACCAGGCTACAAAGGACATCTTCGTTGCAAACATAAAGGACAAAGCCGAGGCACAAATCAACACCAGCGAAAAGGTCAGCGTCGAAAAGCACTGGGACAACTTGAAAATGGTGTGGAGTCAAACCTGCATGGAAGTCCTAGGCAGAAAGAAGAGGCAGGACAAACAGTGGCTCACTGCGGACACTTGGAAACTAATAGAAGAGAGAAGGATGGTGAAACGAAAGATTATCCAGTGCACTGACGAGCAAAAAAACACGATTTGAATGCTAGCTACAATACACTGAACAAAAGAGTGAAGAAGAGTGCCAGGGAAGACAAAATAAAATATTATGAAGCCATGGGAAGTGAAGCAGAACAAGCTGCAGGCAAAGGAGACCTCGCCACACTCTACCAAACAACTAGGCGCCATTCGGGCTAAAGTTCGAAACAGAATAAGCCAATAAAGGACGACGATGGAAAGTCAATCACCAAAGAGATGGGACAGAGAAAACACTGGGCTGAACACTTCAAAAGACTTCTAATTCGTCCGCCACCTACAACACGCCCAACAATACCTACAACGGAAGCAGAACTACTATTTTTTGATTTTTTTTGATTCACAGCTAGATTCCACACTGTATTTTTGGTACAAGTATGGAATTTTCAGCATGGATATCGGTAGCCCAAATTTTGCAGGCCGACCATAGATATCAGGTGTGCGTCGGTGCGGGCTCGAACCCTGGACCATGTGCATGGTCGGGGAGAGTCCTAACCACTAGTGAACGTTGATCCCCCGACGAAATCAGAAGTCCTGAATGCAATCAAGATGCTAAAAGCTGGAAAATCAGTAGGATGAGATGGAATCCTAGAAGAAGCTTTGTATGAGAGTTTGAAATCATGTTAAGTAGTATTTATTAAACGATGAAATGAAGTTGATGTATTTGATGAGGTACTACACTGGAGTTGCTGCAAGAGCTATACATTGCTGTAAGTTCATGCCCCTAAAGAAGGATACCCTGAGGCTATGAGTATACTGCGTCAAAGACTCGGAAGACTTTCGATGATTGTAGGGAAATTATTCGAGGCTGTTAAGGGTAATGGTAGTCAATTACAGGATGACTCCAGTGCACTACCTGAGTTTCTGGATAATCTGTTGACTTACAAGAATGCATTGATTTCGATTAATTGTATGAGTGATCTGAACTCAAGCTCAGTCCTAGAGGTAATAGCAAGACGCCTACCACTCGACTGCAAAGGAAGTGGGTGAAGATAAGCTCTCGTACAGAAGATGAGGGGATCAAGCCAAGGTTTGATGATATTCTGAAACTGGTGAAGGACAGTGTCAACCAGGCGATGGGTGAATTCGCCAGCATTTTGCATTCTAAGGTAGAACCTAAGGAACCAGTGAATATAAGGAAAGCATTTGTGGTGAAGTCTCAAGACACAACGAGAAAGGATGAGTGTATTGTTTGCCATAACATGCATCAATTGAGTGATTGTAATCGCTTTATTGCTATGTCACCCGTAGAAAGGTTAAAAATGGCAAAGCAGAAGCGGCTGTGTTTCAGTTGTTTAAAGATTGGGCATACAAAGTTGAATTGGGAGGCGACAAACAAAGGAAGTAGTGGTTTAACGGATATGCACCCACTTCTGAGGACAGTGAACGAACCTGGGAATTCGGTTAATTGTAATAGTATCTCTAGACCCCTTGACATCCCACAAGTTTTCTTAGGGGTATTACCAGTTAAGGTGAAAGGACCGAAATCTTCAGTAGAGACTTATGCATTGTTGGATAATGGTTCAGACGTTACATTGATAGATGCTGAACTGGCTGGTTGCTTGGGTATTAAAGGCCCAAAGCAACCCTTGGTTGTAAATACTTTCAATTCTGCGAAAACAGTAGTATGTGAGCGAGTGTCATTTCAGTTAGAATCCTTGGCTACAGGGGAGACCGTGGAAGTGGATACTGCTTACACTACCTCCAGTATGAAACTTGGCGAAGCTATAGTACCTAGTCGTGAAACGGTTGTCGGTAAGCCGTACCTGTGTGACATACCTCTTCCAACATTGCAAGATGGAAGAGTGAGAGTACTCATTGGATGTAGTGTGCCAGAAGCTCACAAGGTATTAGAAGAGAGATTTGGAGGTAGAGATGATCTGTTTGCGACGAAAAAACCACTGGGATGGACAGTGAGAGGACCTATACCCATAGTCCACATATCATCATTAGTTGCAAACGATGGGGACAAACTAGAAACTATGATTAAAAATATGTATGACAAGGAGTTTTGTGACTGCGGTGTCCCAGAGAGAGGTCGTTCTGTAGAAGACTTAAAAGCAGTTAAAATAGCCGAGGAGTCTTGTAAATACGAA